ATAAAATATAGTAAAAATTAAAATTTTTATCTTATATAAAAGTTTTTAATTTATTAATAAAAAATTTTTTAATTTTATTAATAAAAAATTTTTAATTTTATATTAAAATAAAGATTTTTTCTAACAAAATTATTCTAATTGCAAAATTTTTTATAATTAAAATATAAAATTAATTATAAAAAATTTTTAAAAATTCAGAAAAAATATATATTAAACTATAATTTATAATTTTTGTTTTAATATAAAAATAAAAAATATTTATTAATAAAATTAAAACTTTTACATAAAACAAAAATTTTAATTTTTTATTATATTTTATTAATAAAATTGCATATATACTTTTATAATTCTGTTAATTATTATATATTTTTTTAGATTTTATTTGAGAAAGTTATTTTAATTAAAATATAAAATTAATTATAAAAATTTTATAATACTTTCTTAATTAAAATAATTTTGTTAGATAAAATTTAAAAAAATTCAAAAAATATTTATTAATGAAATTAAAATTTTTATTATAAATAAAATTATATATATAATTTTATAATTTTGTTAATTACTATAAATATTTTTAATTAATTTGAAATTCAAATAAAATAATAATAATAGTTAATTTAATAAAAATTAATAAGTTAAATTTTAAATTATTTTTTATTTTCAATTTGACAAAAACTAAAAATAATTAAATATTTTGAGTTATTTTTTGTATTTAATTAATAAAATCTTAATACTAATTTTTATTAGATTTAAATTAAAAAATTTTGTAATTTATTATTATGATATATCACAAAATTTCAAATTTAATAATAATAATAATCAAAATATAATCTTAAACTTTTTTGAACATATAACTCTAATATTATTTTTTTTAGTAAATAGAAGATATAGAGACATATTATATATATATATAATAAAGTATAATTCTCTAAATTAAATTAAATATTTTAAAATATTTTTTGAATAATAATATTTAATCTGAAAATAATCTGGAAAAAATTTGAGATAAATCTAATAAAAATTGATTAAAAATTGTTATTAAATTTATTTCAAGTTTTTCTGAATTAAATATTATTATTTAAAAAATATTTTGAAAAATTTAATTAATTTAAGTTTAATAAAAGCTTTTTATTAAATTAAATTTTCCAAAAAATTTTCTGAATTCTGAAAAAACTTTAAACTTTTCAAAAAAATTTATTAATTATTATTATATTTTAATAATAAAATTTATATAATATATATTATCTAAAGTTATCAAATATTTATATTTTATAAAATTTATATATTTTATAAAATATAAATATTTAATAAGTTTAAATAATATATACTATAAATAATATATTATTTTTATAAGTTATTATATAAAGATAAAAAATAAAAAGTTTAATTTTTAAAGTTTATAAAAAAATATAATTAGAAAATAAACAAAATAAATTAAATCAAAAATATTTTAATATATATAATATTTCTTGAAAAATAAAAATATAGAATTAATTATATTTTATTGAATAAGATATTTTTTAAATATTAATTCAATATTAATTCTATAATAATTTAAATAATTTAAATATTAATTCAGAATCAAATATTAAGTTAACTATAATTGATTTTTAATATAAAAAAATATTTGAATTTATAGTTAAAAATTTATAAAAATTTTTTATATTAAGAATTTATTAGTAACTTTCTTATATTAAATTTTAATTAATTTTTTCTATATATAAATAAGTTAATAAAAATTAACCAAATTATAAAAACATAATTTTGTAATAATTAATATTTTATCTTTTATATTTTATATAATTAATATATAAAAATACTTGAAATATAATTTTATTATATAAATAAAGATTCATAATTAATTAGAAAAATAATTAATATATTTATTTTTGTTATATTAATATAAAAAACTTATTTTTAAAAAAACAATTTGCTTAATTTTTATTGACTTAATTTTCATATTAAAAATTTCTTATATCAAGAATTACTTATATTAATTTTATTAATAATTTAATATATATAAAAAAAATAGTTATTTTTTTTAATTTTTATTAGTTAATAAATAGTATTTGTTTAATTGATATAATTTCTTGATTTTTGTTACAAAATTATATTATTTTATTTAATCCCTTGTTTTTTTTGTTTAATTATAAAATTATAATTATTATAATTAATTTCTTATTATTAATACCAAATTATTTTTAATTAAATTAATAAAAAAAGTATATTTATCTTTAATTAAGATTTTGTTTGGATTAGATCAAGTTATATTTGAGATTAATTCAAATTAATAAATTTGATTTAGATTGAATTTAAATAGATTTGATCTAAAAATTATAAACTAGTTTTTTGTTAATAATTTTTATTTTTACTAAGACACTTGTATTTTGTATTTTAAATAAAATTATTCAAGATATAATTGTATATATATTTATATATTTTGTTTAATTTAAATTAATTTTAAATAAGAAATAATAATTTTTAGACTAACCTAAAATATTTCAAGTTGAATTTGATTTCAATTCAACTTAATCTGAAATATATTATTTAAATCAGATTACAGATTGAATTTAATCTAATTGGAGGATTATTTTTAATAAAGAAGATTTTTGAGCTCATTTTAATTGTTTAACAAAATAAATATATATTATTTATTTTTAATAATTTAGTTATAATATTTTTAATTATTATATTATCTTTTATATTAATTGAAATTATATAAAAAAATATTATATACTCAAAAATTATAAAATCAACTAAAATAATAATATTTATAATAAAATTATACTATAAAAAAGTTGATTGTATATAATTATAATAAAATATAAATATATTAAGTTTAATATTTTTTATTTAATAAAAATATATAATTAACTTTTTTATAGTTATATTATTGGATAAAAGGAAAATTATAAAGAGGTTTGACTGTATTAGAAAAGGTTTTTGTTAATTTAATTACTAATTATTTAATAACAAACTTATTTTCTTGAAATGACATGTTTTAAAACTGAAATATACTTGATGAATAATAATAAATAACAATAAATACTTTAAGACAAAATCGATTTTAAATATGTTTCGTTTATATTGCGCAAAATAAATTATTTGAGAGCACATATATCAATTCTTAGAACAACTTCTATTACATGTCATTCTAAATAAAAAAAATGAACAAGATTCTGTTGTTGACTTTGATTTGACAATGGGAATCCATTATGAATTATTAAGCATTAACTATATAAAAATTAGTTTAGGTTTTTGGATTTTAATTTCATGTAATTACATACCGAACAACTTAAAAACTAGACTGTAGTTAAGTAAAAACCCAATCTTAATTAATTGAAAATAAATAAATCAAAATCCCAAAAACCAACCAATTCATTAACTCAAAGCAGGAGTTCTCACTCGTCATATATGCGTATTCCAATTCTGCACCTCTTTCAACGATTTTAAGTATTTTTCTGCAATTTCTCGACAATTTTTGAAATGATTTACTCCTTCACGTTTATAGCATAACACCAGCTGTTTTCGCAAAAGTTTAGTTTCCATGACTTTTATCCATCTTTCACGTATAAATGCCTCGCGTGCATCCAGGACAGCTAATTAATATTTGGATTCATATCGTCATTGTGAATTTTTTATGGGTAAAAAAATCGAATCATTTAAGTTTGCCATCAGCGTTATCTTTGTTAATATTAGCCCTTAACCCTACCTTGTTTGTCGGAAGGATCAATTTTCGAAAGATCTTCCGGAAGTTTGGGAAACTCTTTATGTTTAGGATACTCCCAACTCGCCATATTATAAATTAAAAAGCTTGTATTTTACGTTGTTGCGAATCAATTTTATCGAGCTTAGTGTAACTTCAATATTTATTCATTCTCGTGAAACTGTAAAAAATTGATCATCAAAACTCGGTATTTGTTTTTCTTCTACCACTATTACAACCACAACAACCACACTCTAATCCTAGATTCAATAATGTTTAATTGGATTGTCAATAGACCAAACAGAGTTATTGAACTACAGAAATATTATCAGGTATTTTAATGAATTATTTGTGTCGATGGTTGTGGTGAAAACGGGCAAAATACAACAATGATTAATTGATTATGTACAAAAAGCAACCGGGACCAGTATTTCTTAAAGGTAGACTACGTAAACCAATTATTGTTGCTTATTCTGTAATGTTATCAGGGACATTTTTGGGTGCTCTCTATGGTAGTGTGAGAATGGCACAGGTAAACTATAATAGAAATCAAATAATATTTAATATGAGGAATTTCAAATTTATTTGCTCATATTTATTTTATTCTAGGGTAAAAAATGATAACTATTGAAAAAAATCGACTAGGATAAAGGAACAATATTGTTTGAACAAGGATGATGTAAATAATTTACGAATGAATATCTGTTAATCTTTTAATTATCTTATAATAATAATAATTATCTCAATTCTCTAACATCCCCATGACTTTGCGATTAAGCTTAACATGATGTACATTATTTGTGAGCTGCTTTACCATTGTTTATTTCATTATTGAAGTATTATTTAAAGATCCAGTATAACTTGGTTCAAAAATAAGAAATACTCGATTTCACAATAGTCAGAGAGAACTCTATTCTAAAAATTAAGACTTGCACATGTATATGTACACAATTTACATGTCTCGTCGTCATTAGCATTATCATTATTGTTAATTTTATTAACGGTGGTGGATTTTCATATAATCGTCATTATCAGTACTGACAACAGGAATTATTCAATAACAGCTCACAAATGTTCAACCAATTAGACAGTTTAGTGACGATTATGAAAATCCACCACCGTTAATAAAATTGTAGCCATTTTTTTCATATCCTGTGTATATCACATGTTCATGTCTGCCATCCTATTTTCATCATCCAGCATTACCAGTCATGTGCACTCGAGAAAAAAAATCTGTCTCGAGTTATACGAGTGCGAGTCCTGAAATTTTGAAGAGATGCAAGTATGACTAATGCTCTTTCCCAACAATCCGTGAAGCATCTTTCCTTCTTCGAGTACAAACTGCTTAATTATCCCCAAGACGATACAATGATCATGAATTTTAGACGTTGCTATGCATTTTTGTTCACCGTTTCCATCTCATTGTCGAAGAAAATATTCAAATGGTTATTGCAATCCGTCAATATGACCATTGCATTTATAGGATGGCGATTATCTATTAAGAATAGCACACCTGTTTTCTTGGTCTCAATCCAGTCTGGATCTTCAAATGATTTAACAAAAAATTCAGTGACTTAAATTATCCTTAGCGAACTTCCCGAGACGAGTTTGTATTGTTTTTGCGTAAGGCCATTGCTGATTTCGCTATGTTAAGCACTCTTAAATAAACGTATATTCCATAGATATATCAGTGCCACTCGTTAAAGTAATGTTGGCTCCTCGTAAACATCGTTGATAGTTCACTCCCGTATGGGTGTCCTTCCCTTGGCAGTCTTAGTGAATTCTTAAACCATGTCTCAATATCGTGCATCTGTTGAGCTTCCTCTCTCTCCATATCCCATCTGAACGACCCCTAAGTGCGAATCACGTGATAATTTGATGATGATGCGAAGAGTTAGGATCTGGATCTGGGTCAAGATTATTTAGCAAATACAAAGTGTATTTATAGTAAAATTTCGCAACATTTTTGTTAGAACACATAGTTTCATAGGCTAGATTTTGATTTTGTGTTACACGTTGGTCTTGCGATTAAATTGGTCCATAATCGCTGACATCGTCAAAAAATTAACACATGACCCGCACCTTAGAGGGTCGTCCTGGTAGAGGCATGACACGGATCCAATCTCCCTCTAATAACCAAACGTTCCCTTAAACATGTATCTCGCTGTAATAACTATTTTGACCTGTCAACCATTTCCTTTTACTAGTTTTTGTCACGACAATCCATATAATAAACAGGAGCTTTATTATTCGCTCACTACTTACCCTGCTCTCTGCCTTTGAGTGTCTTAATCAATTTGGTGATTCTTGTAGCTGGACACTAGAAAGATTATAAGGAGCCAAAAGTTTTTCTGCGGTCAAGAAAAGGAAGTCTGAGCCGGAGCCTTTTGTAATTATCTCAATATCCTCATCATCAAGCTCTTCTTTCCTCTCTTGCAAAAAGTTAATAATATCGGCTCGCTTCCACTTCTTGATTTCTTCAATGTTTGGTGTTTTTCAAGATTTGAAGCAACGCTTTTGCCTTTCGTAAATGGGACAACTTTGGTAGTTTCAACGTCCTTTATGGAAACTATGTTTGCCGATTAAAATGAGTGGTTCCTCCGCAAACAGTACTTGTACTATACCTCTTTAGCAGGAACGATACTTTTTCAGATTTCTTTAACATTTGGCGTAGTTGCTCCTTTCGTAGATGTACCATTAAATGTTTTCCCTGGAAGCTATTTCCTTGCCGATGATAATGAGTGGGTTCTCTACTTTACCTCTAGCTTTCTTCGGAGACTTCTTTGGCATTGTAAGAAAAAGTGTTACGGAGCACAGCCCCCTCCAAATTCTGGAATCTTATAATTAAATTCTCTAAATTTGGGGTCCACTAAAGCCGAATTTACCTAGCGTCGGGAAACATAATTTTGAATTGGGTTAAGTTCAGGTTAGAGTTAGAGAACTCTTAAGACCAATCAAAAGTTTGTCTGATAAAAAATTTCAAAAGAAGTTAGAATGCTATTGGAAGGAAACAAAAGTGATCATTATACAACTCAAGATATGTACCAACGTTCCAAAAGTCCAAAAATTAAAAAAAGCAACAAAATATATTTCTATAGCGATAGCTACCCAACTAGATTAGGCTTTTTCATTTTCTTGTGTCGGATTTGTTTTGCCGAATGCATAACCGTCCTTATACTAAAATGTATATCAACTAATATTTGTCACTCCCCTTCGCGATTGTGATAGGAAAAGTCGAAGTGGAAGAAACTAATGATTACTTCCCTCTAAATCTCCTCTGGATGTGTCTGGACCATTTTGATTAGCAATAAATAACGCGACTATGTCGATATCGATCGATATGTATACACATAACTGGAGCCCAAAATTTCTCAAGCATGTATTACAAAAATATATATATTGATTTTTGGAATCTAGCGCTAGGCGCAAAGAGGAAAAAAGTCGTTATATCGATATTATTTATCCCATCGGGGTTGATCGCCGACCCGACTTTCCGGACACCGTGACAGATTTTCAGGTACTTATTTATCTATAATCATGTGATTTTAATTTTTTGTCAATTTCGCGCTTCTCCCAGTTTTATTATCATTATATTCTTGGACTTCTTCGCTTGTATTATTAGATCTGTTTTATGTAAATTTATATTGAACCTGATAACTAGAAATTGAAATAAAGTCACATAAATTTATTTTGTGTATTTTTGTTGTGCCATGAACGCTTTACCCAAGGAAGTCTCTCTAAGAGATCAGCAAATTGGTTGGTATTATTTATTCTTCGAGCAATCTTTGTATGAGTCTAAACTCTAAATCCTCTAATTTATGTCAATTTCTGTTTGAAAACAAAATTGTTTCATACATCTCAGAGGCAATTATCACGATGCTAAATCTGAACGTTAAGCCAGAACCTAGCATCCCTGTTGCATCTTCGGACATATTAGTTCCCATCACCAATAACACACCTGACTTAGTATGGAAAGTCTTGATTTTCGATGAATTCGGTCGTGATATTATTTCTTCTGTGCTAAAAGTGAATGATTTGCGTGAGAATGGTGTTACTGTTCATATGTAAGTTTATTTTTATGTTGGAAGCCAACAATGCCCGTTTTGTGAAGTTTATTCATATTTTTCACTTTTTTTTTGTGGTGTTGATTAAATCAAGGTTATTGAAAAGTGATCGACAACCGATTGCAGATGTACCCGCTGTTTATTTTGTTGAGCCTACTTCTGAAAATATTCAGAGAATTAGTGAGGTATACATCTTTTTGTCACACCTTTACCGGGATTTATTAATTTTATATAATAAGCTGCAAATAATAGGATTTATCTAGAAATTTATACGAGTCATATTACATCAACTTCACAAATTCAATACCGCGGCCTTTACTAGAAGAGCTCGCAGCCGTAACAATACCAACCAACACATCACATTTAATTGCGCAAGTCTACGATCAATACTTAAACTTTGTTCTATCAGAGCCCAATTTTTTCTCATTAAGCCAAAAAAATGTTTACTATACATTAAATGACCCATCTGCTGCCGAAACAACAATTGAAAAAACGATCGATCGCACAGTGAGCTCACTATTTTCCGTGCTAGTGACTATGGGTGTCATTCCTATTATAAGATGTCCTCGAGGGAATGCCGCCGAAATGATTGCTCAGAAACTGGATAGCCGACTTCGCGATCACGCATTAAATTCACGGAATAATTTATTTGCAGATACTGTTGCAACACTGAGTTTTCAACGACCGGTATTGATTATACTTGATCGTAATATTGATCTAGTACCGATGCTTAGTCATTCGTGGACTTATCAAGCCCTAATTCATGACATCTTGGATATGAATTTGAACAGAATTACAGTACAGGCGGAGGAAATGGGTCGAAACACAAAGAAAAGCTATGATTTGGATAGTAAAGATTTTTTCTGGGCGAAAAATGCTGCGAATCCTTTTCCACAGGTAGCCGAAGATATTGATGTGGAATTGAATCGGTATAAGTCGGATGCTGCCGATATTACAAGGCTAAGTGGCGCAAGCTCATTAGAGGATATTGATCAAACTGATATCTCTCAGAATACTCAACACCTAAAATCAGCAATAACTGCTCTACCGGAACTCACAGCACGAAAACAAACATTGGACATGCATATGAATATAGCCACTTCCATATTACAAGGTATCAAAGAACGTCAGCTTGATATCTTTTTCCAGCTCGAAGAATCGATAACGCGACAAAACAAAGTATCGCTGCTTGAAGCTATTAAAGATCCAGAGAAAAAAAATCCAGAAGATAAACTTCGATTGCTTATTATTTATTATCTTTTGGTTGATGGAGTTGCCAAAGAAGATTTAGTTGAATTTGAGGCCGCCTTACAAGCAGCTGGCTGTGATGTAGCTGCACTGAATTATGTGGAAAAGTATGTATATTATTAGTTACTGATTTTATTCTCGTTATAAATGTTAAATTTAATTCTTTAGAGTGCGGGAAATTACTCGTATGAGTATGATGGCGAACCCTGTGCCACAAAGTTCAGGTTTCGGTTTTCAAGGTTTTAGTTCGATAGGAAACAAAGTTCGTAATCAACATATATAACTTTTAATAAAGAATATTGATAATAACGAATCTTTTGAATAGTTAACAGATCGTCTGAAAGAAGGTGGTTTAGGAGGTGGCTTTGAAAATTTAATCTCTGGAGTGAAAAATTTACTTCCGACACGTAAAGATTTGACAATGACCAGAATAGTTGAATCAATGATGGAACCAAATAGCGCTCCCGAGACAGAAGATTATCTATATTTTGATCCAAAACTATCTCGCGCTTCCAGCACGAAACAGCCCCGACACAAACACGTATTTCAGGAGGGCATTGTTTTTGTAGTTGGTGGTGGTAACTTTATAGAGTATCAGAATTTGCAAGAATTTGCTCAGGTATGACCTTTTATTATTTTGAATTCCTTCCAAGTATATATTTATTTATATTCAATTATTTAAAATAGCGACAGGCTCTCAAAAAGAAAATAATTTACGGGTCTACAGAAATATTAAATCCCCATTCATTCATACAAGAACTGGCAATGCTCGGTTGAGTTTGAAAGTGTAATTTCATCATGTTGATCTTGGCGCACGCACAAGAAAGTTCTTACCAAAATTTCATTATTTTGTAATTTACACCAAATAACCACATGATAGAATACACAGATTTCCCCCCACAGAAGAACAATAAATAAATTTTTGTAAGCTATGATATTGTGCTATTTGGAAAAGCCACGTAGAAGAATTTATCCAAATATTTAGCAGAGTTCGATCAATTGCTTTTTCTAACACTTCTAAAAGATAAATTTGGAAGTTTCCGACTCGATACACAAAAAACGTATATGTAACGGCTGATGCACAATATTTCTATTCTCACAATAGTTTGGTTCAATCGTTATATATATCACATAATTATTGTAACGCTAAACTCACAATTTTTCGATGATGATTGTTGATTCTCGACTCTCGTGACCGCGTTCGTTAGTTCACGCGCCTTGGCATTGAATTCCTAAAAATAAATTGCCAAACGTATATATTGACATAAAACCTGGGGTGATTGAAAAACCCGATCTTTTCAGGTGATTATTACGCTATAAATATTTCAAAAATTTTAAATCTTAAATTTCTCATCGAAAATTTTATATAATCATTCATTTTCAATTTGCAAAATTCATAAAGAATTCTGGCCTCTAAGCACTAGGCTTGAGCTATCGGCCCTTGCCATCAGGGTGCAAAGAGCATCAAATCACGCTTTTTCTCCTCGTCAGTTTTATTTGGAAGTTAGTAAAGCCCCTCGCTCGCTGGTCATAACATCTCGTAGTACCTTCTTTTCCTAAATATTTGGAACCAACCATGAATATCACGAAAAAAGAGGATGGTAAGTTTTTGCTTTCTTTTTTGTTTCGTTGCATGTTTGCGTGAGATTAATAGAGATTTAGCAAGTAAAACGTTGCAAAAAGCAAAAATTAACCAAAACACTTTTCGCTTTTTGCAGGCGCTGGCAAACCGCAAGCTCACGTGGAAGACAAGAGAGCTAACGTGCAGGCTATAGCACAACCCTCGCACATAGTTCCCCAAGCAAAACCCGAAGCAAAATCAGGCAGCCAACATTATGCCAGCAACTTAATTAGCGCAACACTTCAAAAAATGTTTCATTTTGATGGTGCATCTGGTCACTCGAAATCCGCGAAAAGCTCAAAGACTTCGTCGGCAGGTTCGGAATCCGAGGAAGACAGCAATAAGCTAGATCATTTACCGGCCTCGATGTCTGCATCTCCAAAGCCAAGGTTCCAAACAGCACTTAATGGTATGCATGTTCATAATCTTGCACCAAGGAAGACGCATCGAATGCAAAACCTCTTTAAAGAACTTGGTCTCAATGCTCATATATTAGCGGAAGAGCGAGCACAACAAATTCATCATGAACGACCACCTTTCCGACATGCTAATACTGAGGCTTCCCTAACGGAAAAATATGGAAAATGCCAGGAAGTGATCGGCAAGGGTGTGTGTCATTTTTATTAAGAAACGGTGAGTTGCATTGATTTAGATATTATCAGAGTTCATATGTACAATCTTTTGTTTTTTCCTTTCTATTTATAATGTAGGCGCATTCGGTGTTGTCCGTATTGCTCATAAAACGGAACCAAAAGTTCCTGGCGAAAAGCTATTTGCCGTCAAGGTTCTTATTTGTTCCTTAATTGAAGACCAAACCGTCGTAATATGGTATTCAAATCTAACACTTCCCTATTTTTTCCTCATTTTTTTTTGTTAGGAATTTAAAAAACGAAATAATGAACCCAATAAAAAATATGTCAAGCGTCTTACTTCTGAATTCTGTATATCTTCTTCACTTCAGCACATTAATGTTATCGATACGTTAGATCTTCTTCAAGATACGCAGGGAAATTATTGTGAGGTTATGGAATATTGTGCCGGTGGTGATCTTTACTCTTTAATTGTTAATTCTGGTGGTTTGGAAACAGAAGAGGCAAATTGTTTCTTTGGCCAATTAATTAATGGCGTCAAGTATCTGCATGATAATGGTGTTGCTCATCGGTATGCATCTTCTATGAATTTAGTTTCATTATATGATTCTATTTTCATTATATGATTCTAATTTTCATTACTATCTTTTATTGAATCTCGCATACATTCTATTATCTTAGTGATCTCAAACCTGAGAACCTCTTGCTTACTTCAAAGGGATGCCTAAAAATCACCGATTTTGGCAACGGTGAATGTTTCCGCATGGCGTGGGAAACACAAGCTCACCTTTCACGTGGTATTTGTGGCAGTGAGCCTTACATTGCACCCGAAGAATTTACGGAAGCCTGGTTTGACCCCAGACTTGTCGATGTGTGGGCCTGTGGTATTATATATATGGGCATGATAACTGGTCGACAACTATGGCGAATCGCCAAGGCTCATGAAGATAGTAATTTTAAAATATACCTTCAAGCAAGATCTCAAGGCGAGACGTTAACACCATTTCAAGGATTATGCACTGTAAATATTTGTCCCTACTTTTTTTTGAACATGATTTTCAAATTCAAATATCAGTTTCTTAACTTTCGCTTATTTATTTGGTGATATTCTAGAGGCGACGTCGTATAATCAGCAGGATAATAGAACCGAATCCGAAAGATCGCATAACCATAGAACAAATTACAAATGATCCATGGTTTGCCGGACTAAAGATTTGCTATAAACCTCCACCAGCCAACGTTGGTTCTATAAATCCTGCCAGTGCTACGTGTGGTGCCAACCTAAATAATGAGCAACAAATGACAAACATCAACAATAGAAGTGTGGCTAATATGGTGCAATAGGATTGAAGTGATTGGATTGATTAGCAATGCTTATTATTCTAATCACATCTTTTTTAAAACCTTTATTATTATCATTATTATTATTAGATTTATTATTTGTAATTTTTTAATATATGGGGTGGTTATTATTAGTATAATGTTGGCTTTTTCGATCAAGCTGGCATTAGTTTATATCTTTTCCTTTTCTTTTAATTATATATATATATATATATTAATATTAATGTTGTGCTAATCTATTTTGGTTCTTATTTTAATATCATTATTCAACAGTGTAAATATTTTGTAATGCCTTGTTGGCATAGAATAATTATTATAAGAAACTCCCGCAAAATCGATCATCTTTTTTGGTCGGATTTACTCTTGTAAATAAAATAAAGCACACATTAATAACGGTAATACAAATGACGAAGCTTGCACATTAATCGATTACGCATAGCATTTGCACCGGATATCGGCGAAAAGATTTTACCGAATTCGGGAATCCGGAAACAGAATTTGATTTGTAATCCTCAATCACATCACCGTGCGTATAATTATGGATGATTTCATAATCTAGTTGAAAATTTCCCTGAAATATTTATTCGTGGTGGGTATTTCTTTTGGAAGGGTTTGCGCGAAAGAACGATCATTCGTGAATAACAAGTTTTTTTTCATACGCAGTTTATCTTATTGCTTGCTTACTTTGTTAGTTCGTATTTATTCCACCATTATTAAATTTGATACTCACAATGAGTAATTTAACGATTCCAAATCTGCCGCATTCTCCAACGTCACAGTCTATCACCGATTCTTCTTCGTTGATCTCCAACGCGTCACCTTCCTCGCCTTCTTCAGTTAGTGGTGGCGGCGAAGACAATACCAAAACCCCGACGAAAAGGAAACGGTTAACACAAGCATGCGACGCCTGTAGAAAGAAAAAAGTAAAATGTAGCGGCGAGAAACCCAGCTGTCAGAACTGTCAACGACTCAAAGTCGCTTGTACTTATATTCCTAGTACGAAAAAACGAGGGCCTAGAGTAGGTCTCGTGGAAAGTTTGGAGAAACGGCTTCAGCAAATGGAGAAACTATTACAACCGTTAAAGGAACAAGGACTCGTTGAAGATATAGAAGATAGAGATATTCCGTCGACTCCGACAAAAAGACCTAGACTTGCTTCGACGGACTCTAAAAATAGTCTTGCTTCTTTTGATGGAAACCAATCTCAACAATTTAGTAATTTGAACGCTGCCAATGCCGAACGAATTCAAGCTCCTAAAGCTGAATTCTCTAATGCCAATGTCAATATGAAATCATTTGGTGCAGTTCCTAATTCAGAACCATTTCTCAAATTATCCAATGATCCTCTCCAAACCAGTCAAAATAGTATTAATAATAATAACCAGCACGTCAATAGCAACAAAACCAATAACAACTATGCCAACAACGTTAACAACCACCACAATAACAATAACAATAATAATTTTTTTTCTTCGCCATCTTCGGGTTTGTTTCAGATGATGAACCGAAATCCCGAGGATCATTTAAAGAATTTCACGGAGCTCTCTCCATTATTAACACCACAGTCTGGCTCCCCTATAAGGCAACATACACCTACAACCCCAATGTCAAGTCAGTTTTCCATCACTGAAAAATCACAACTAACACCTCCACAACAATCACAACAATTATCACAGCAAACCACCGGTCAAGTAATTTCAAATGAGAAAAATAATGAACCTGAAGAGGACGTCCTCTTGTATTTTGGAAGCACTTCTGCCAGACCTGGATTCCGTACTTGCCAAGAACTATTTGGGAGTATGAATTGGACCGATTTACCCGCACTCTCTGATCCATCATCTGCTTTATCCAATAATGCCTCCACTTCCTCTTCTTTTGATCCACCACCTACTCGAGAAGTCGGACCACTTATATGCTATCCTCTCCGAATGAAAAACTTAAGAAACGATTTACCAAAAAAAGATGTTATTTTGCATTTGGCTGAATACTTTTTCCGTTATTCATATCCACAAATGCCGATGTTTCATAAAACAACTCTTTTACGTCGACTTGAGGAAAATAAAGTTTCGCCATTTTTAATCTACTCACTGTGTGCTGTAAGTGCAAGGTAATAATAAGAATAATTTTATTATTATGATGATAAAAATATTCATAATAAATATAAAAATAGATTTTCAGACAGAGAAGGAATCATTACGAATCCTCCTTACCTGGCTGGTGAGCCATTTGCGGATATCGCCACCTCAATGATTTTGGATAGTTTTGATGAGCCTACAGTCGAACATTGTCAAGGTATTTTCTCGAGACAAAGAAGAAAAAAGCCATTCTAATCATCTTCAATTATGGTCTGGTTTAAAAGTTTAAATTATTTGATTTCTTTCAAGGATTTTTTTGAAAAAGAATAGACTAGACCAGATCGAAGTTCAATAGGCTTTTAGTTGTTTCAGTTTCACGAGTTATTAAATAGAATTAATGATTAAAATTGATAAAACATATAGCTTTATTATTGATGGCTCTGCACCAATATGGCACCATGCGAGGACCACGGTCATGGTTGTATGTGAGTTTAGCTATTAGGTAGGTCCTTAAGATTAAACTGATTCATGCTTTAAATGAATACAAACCTGACATTAAATAAATTATTTATTTTTTAGAATGGCACAAGAATTAGGCTTACACAAAGAATTCGAAGGTCCTACGCTAGGCAGTTCTCAAAAAATTGACAGTGAAGCCGCATTTATTGAGCGAGAAATTAGACGTCGCACATTTTGGTGTTGTTTTGTGATCGACAGGTAAATATGATTTTATAGAGGTGCACGATTTCTACGTAATTCATCGATTAACTTTTTATCATTAGATTCTCTGCTTGTGCACTTGGTCGTCCTACAATAATCGATGAAGCGGATATTGAAATACGATTACCAATTCCGGATCGTGATTGGGAATTAGAGCATCCGATTGTCGTAGATACAGAATTTGGAAGGTTGAAAAAGGTTGAAGTCAGCAAAGATGGTTGCATGATACTCGAAAATAAAGGCTTATTTGCTCTTTTAGTTAGTGCTGCGGCACTGCTGGGGCGTGTTGCGCAAATGATTAATCGAGCAAAAGCTAATGAAACATTACAGCCTTGGAATCCTGAATCACAATATAGTATTTTATCGCAGCAAATTGAGAAATGGTACAGCGAACTGTGTCCAAACATGATATGGTCCAAAGAGAGACTAACACAACACCTCGAGTACAATGTAGGAGCAGCATACGCAACAATACATTTACTATATTATGCAACTATTGTAATTCTAAATCGACCGCATATCGGTATGCTACAAAATGCTGAAGTTCCCGTAGAACACTATGATTTTGTGCGAATGTCCGTAGATCATTGTAAAAATGCTGCACGGGCAGTTTCGGAAATTGCAAACGCAGTTCTTAAAACTAATTGTTTTCATTTGTGTCCTTTCGTGCTTTATCCGCTCTTTGCCGCATCGACAATTCATATCAACGAAACGAGCAAAAACGACGGTGCAGATTCTGAAATGGCAAAGAAATATTTATGCGTGAATTTACAATTTATGAAATCGATGCAACCTTGGTGGGCGATGGCCGCTAAATTGCATTGCATGTTAAAGGAAATGTATAAACGTAGCACCGAGGCTAGTGGTTTAGGATGTCCATTTTCTTCTTGTGACGATGATGACGATGCTAATAATAATAATAATAATGATTCGGGATCATTGAACGAGATTTCACAAAAATGCAATACCGATTTAGGATTAATGGAGTTTTGGAATTGCTCAAATATACAGACAAAACCGATTCCAAAAAATCGTGAATCAGCAATGACAACCATTGATAATGTATCACAAAATTTTTCGATACCCGAATCAAATTTCGGTTTCCAATCAATACTGCTGCCAGGCGAATTTACGTCACCCCGAATTTTCATGAATGAAACAGCAAATGTACCGGAATCATGGTATAGTATGCTCAAAACTCCTTCTCCGCGTCCTTTTTTCCGACCAAATATAAATAAAAACGAAAACGGTGAATACATTGGAGATGACTATTTCTCACTTTACAATTCTGAGCTTCCCAATGGGTTCTCGTACGATGCATTATTAAATGATGCTTTGAATAATGAAACATCGATATCATTCGATCTCTTATCGCCTGGACGAGTTTCGCGAACAGGTCCTGTGAAATATTTAATGAATGAGGCAGTTATTAACGCAGGCGGTGGACAAATGTCCACAGGCTCGACAACTGGTAATACCAATAGCCAAGTTGTTCAGCAACAGCAGCAATTGAATGAGCAAAATACTTTCTCATTAATATCTGCTATTGTGCCACCATCATCATCTCGAACTGTTTTATAATACGGATCGGGTTTTCTTGCACCATTATTTATTGAAACTTTAGTTCCTTGACGAACAAAAATAAAAGATCAATACTGACAAAATGGACATTAAATAAATTAGTTATTGAATAATAAATCCCCTTGTTGATAATTAGCTTTTCCTTTGTTTTATTTTCTTGCAAATTTTTTATCTATTAAATTATTTTAGCGAGAACTGCTAATATAATATTAACTATTATAAAGCATTACTATTTGAATACTTTCTAATTTCGTTTATGTTTGTTAACATACTCGTGGTGTAAAATAAGAACAATTTCAAATCTTTTTTTAAGACGAATTCTTTATCTGGAGAATCCTCGTCGTTATCACATTAATTTATTAACTTCCACCTCTGAAATTCTTAATACTGTATAAGGTTGTTTGTGCGTGACATGCTTAACATGTCTATTATGCGGTTTCTTTTTTAGCTTGACAACGAATGGTCCCAATGGTTGTTCCAACACTGTGGCCTTGATGCTATAAAATTGTTCCGCGACGTATGGATTTCCTTTTATGGTGAAATCTTTGGACCCCAATTCAATAACTCGGTTCAATTTAATCTCATCGCCAACTTTTACATCACGTAATCGATTGGTGATTACCTGATCATTTTTCGTGACTAGAAAACGACGACCGCATATTTCAACTTCCGCATAATAACGAAGTTGATCACGCAGACGGGTGACCAGGGATTTTGTGGTAGCTGATAGAGTGATAGGCGTTGAGTCACTTGTTTTGGGTTTTGATTTAACACGTTGAAGTAATGGAGGCATTGGTGTGAGAATCGAGTTACGTAACGATTTTGATGAAGAACGAGACGATGTTTTATTCAAGGATTGGGCAGAGCGATGAGTTGTCGGAGACCTGTTTATGGCATTTGGAGAGCGGGAGATTGATGGATATGGGGATTGAGTTACAGGATATGGAGGAGGAGGTGGTGGTGGTGGCTGATGATGTATATATAAATTTGAATCTGGGTTTTTGAGGCGTTGAAGATACAGAATTTCAGCGATCGTCTCTGGAGGGCGTGGAAAAGAAGCAGCCTTTAGAGGATTATGCTTGACGGGTAATTGCTGGAATTTTTGCTCGGTTGTGATTGATGTTGAAGTGTGGGACCCTAAATTAAATCCAAAAAAGATTAGTTGGTTTTTCGAAATTTGAAGATCAAGTAAACATATAATACCTCTTCTATTCTGTTCTGTTCGTTTCTTCTTTTTAGTGTGCAGAGTTCTTCGCAGAGCATTTATTATTATTAGATTTCTTGAATCCAAATTTAGATTCTTTAAATGTTTTGTTGTTGATGTGCCTGCAAGAAACGACGTTTCGTTTCGAATATACAAAAATCATTACATATGCATAGCAAGATTCGAAATCTTTAACATATCATTGAGTCGATAAAATGAACAATCTAATGATCATTATAATTTGCTTATATTCCTGGTGCTTCTTGCAACTCACCACCACAAATAATAGTATTGAGAAAATTATTACTAGGACAGACTGATGCATAGAAGTTTGATGAATTTGTGCAAGATAGTAAAGAGAATGAACATGAATTTGAATAGGAACACAAAGACGAGCGCGGTAATTTGAATAAGAGGCGAGATGGACGCGGTATTATTAATGGCGACATTAAAAAGAATATTTTTTGTCGATCGATAGATCAGATATTTTCTTTGGTCAGCTGACTTTAAAAACGATATTTTTTCGATCGATTATCATACATATATAGGAATCATGCATATTTCAAATAAGGAATTATCTTTGATTATTATTAATAGATGTAAATACAGCATATTATTTTTGTTTCGTTTTCAATTAACTTAATGTTAACCAGCAATGTGTGATCTCATAAAGATTAATTTGTGTAACGAAACTGACGCCAAGACAAACAGAAACGGTTACTAAATCTTGATAATTTTAATTTGATAAAAATAAACAGGCAATGTGCGAGCTTCAAATTATTCAATCAATGGAGGTGCCGCATACAAGAACACTTTCTCCCTCATATATTTATAAATTTTGATTGATCATAGAAAACCAAAACGAAGTTGTTCAATTTCTAGTAAGGACAACCATAGTGGAAATGATTAATTTTGCCGTTGTAGAAGAAAATGATTACTTTACGCATAAATAGAAATTCCGTAACATTCAGATGCAATATGACTTACAGATGCATACCATACGCACATCAGAAATCTGTGCCAGGTTTGTAAATTCTACTGTAATATTTAATTAAAATTAAAAGGTTGGTTTTAGGATTAGGGTTAAAGCTGAGAGACAAGTTATATATAAAATTGTCTCCCCAACGTTTTTAATTATTACTCCAAGCTATATTTAGGCACTTGTTTCTCGTATTTTTCGCATTTCTTGTGTTTCTTCTTTTCTTGTTTTGCCGGTCCGATCAAAAATTTCTGCTTTCTACGTATATTGTTATCGCTAATTGATCCATAACGATAAAAGTTGCCTATCGCTATAGTTTAAATAACTGATATAAGAATAGCGAGTGGTAGCAGTAGTTTTTATCATGAAATTACCTAATAAATAAATAAATAAATGAATGAATGAATGAATAAATAAAGTATCAATCATTGCTATTTATCCAATGTTGTCTTTTTTTGTTTCGATCCATAATTGGTTTAGTATAATGATAATAACGATAGTAAATAGTAATAAATAGAAGTAACATCATTAATAATAATACAGCAAGCAAGTCAAAAGCTAACGCTAACTTTTTTTTCCCATTATTAACGTTAAACTAAAAACACAGACGCAGGAACACAACTTTGCGTTTTTTTGGCTACTACCAGTCAGACAAAACTTCTTTTATTTATGAGTGCTTTTTTTGTTTTTTCAAGAGCTTCTTTTCTCCACAAAAACCAAAACTTGTTCTTATTAAACTTACGAGAATAATGAACAGACAGCATTAAATTTAAATTATTAAATCTAAGACAAGAAACGTGAACAGTAACGATACATATATATTCTTTTTGTTAATGACTTTTAACGAAAATCAAAAAAAAAGAAACGAACATTTCTAAAAAAATATTTGACTCTGAAAAGTTCTTTAGCGTTTGTAAGTTTTATTATTTGCTAGTACCGCGAACTTCAATACCTTCAAAAACGAATAAAGACAATATTAGTGAACAAAAGCAAAATGACATGCTTCTCGAGACTAAAGAGTAAAAGTAATGACAATCCTCGCCTTGGTCGTCGTCAAGAAATGGTGCGAATTCACTACTCCAAGCCTTTTTCAACAACACTTGCATTTACACTTACTTTGTTTCTAATAATACTCTCATCGTTAAACTCCAAAAGTGCTGCTGCGGAATACAATAACATTGGTGCTGGTGTTAATAATGATAGTAATAGTTATGTTGCAACTATTTTAAGTGGTGGAAAGGACGTAAATTTCGAACTTAGTCCTGTTAAAAATTCCTTTGCTTTGGATATAAGAGTGGGTAGTCATTTATTATTTATTCGATATTTCATCAATTTATTTTATTTTATTTTATTTTATTTAATCAATCGTCATATTATATCAATAATATCAGCAAGCACAACTTTATCTATGGACAAATACAAGCAACAACACTCCACCTAAAGATAACTGGGTTGCACTTATCGATTGTGATCCATTAGCATCCTCTACCATAAAACAAGTCCTAGAGCATAATCCGAGCGCGATTTTAGTTAGTCAAGGCGCATCGTGTCCCCAGCAATATGTTGACGCACCAGACAATACGAATGTCGAGCCAATCTTTCAATCAAAACAACTGGATTCTTATATAAATTCATTAAAACAAGGTGAAAACATAAGCATAAGTATTGTTAGTCGACCTCATTCGTTACATAATGACAAAAGCAATACTAGTGGCACTGGAGAACCTCCACCCGTGAATTCTTCTAGTAATAATAATAATAATACAAATAGTAACGTAATACAAACATATCAAACTGCGATGATAGTATTATATGCTGTATCCGGAGTGGTACTCGGTCTATTCTTTATCGTCGTGGTGACAAACGTAATAAAGAATCGACTACGTCCTTCTCGTTCTGTTGGAGTTAGTCAACTATCGGATGGGAATAATCGTGGTGCTGGTGGTGGATCTGCTGGTGGGGGTATCGCTCGAGCTGTGTTAGAAAGTTTCCCGGTTTATTTGTTTTCGCTTGGTGGTGTTAATGCTATTGGAACTAATTCTAATGAATCGGAAAAAGATCCAAAAGATGAAATTGATGTGGAGAAAGGTTTACGAAATGATCCCGATAAGATTAATAATGGAGAGAGTAAGAACGATGATAATACCACACAAGATGATGATGGTCCTGATTATATGGCTGTCCCTTATGAATCTGAGTCGCTAAACGAGGAAAATGCTATTTCAAACGCCAACAACAGTAACGATATTAAAGATGACGATAATCAAACTGATGAGATAAATAAAGATGATAACAATGAAGATGACGAAAAAAGTTCAACGGACGAAAGTCCAACTCCATTAATAATCCCTAAACAAATTGTTGCGCAATTACAGAACTCCTCGAAAACCTGCTCAATATCTACTCTTTCTGGGTCAGTAATGTCTAATCATGTGACTGAAGAACAATTGACTTGTCCTATTTGTTTGGGTGATTTTGAGGCTGGTGAGGAATTACGTGTTTTACCGTGTCATCATCAATATCACACGTAAGTATTAATTAGCGTTTATGCCTAGGTAATGAAAAATTTTACTTAATAAATTTTTTGTTTTTGTAGATCATGCATTGATCCATGGCTACTAGATATTTCCCCATTATGTCCAATGTGCAAAGCAGACTTCACTACATGGAACATCGACGTATCCGCACAACAAGGCAGCACCGATGACCCATCAGCATCCACCATCTCGGTCGATTCATCTGCCACTCCTCCAACTACCACGCAACAAGCACCACCTATCGACAACTCTGACGCAATATCACAAATTTCCTCGATTGATGATTCACTACACACATTCCCACATTTCCGATGGATAAAATATTTAACGGCTATTCGTCGCGCTGGAAGACGCAATCGACGAAGAAGTCGACGACCGAATGTTAGACATTCCGCACAACCACCTAGAATTCAGCATCAGCATCAGCGACAACAGTCAAGTGATGCTGCTAGCGGTAGTAATGATTCGCCTTTAAATCGTGTTAGTATGTAAATTTTATAAAAATTAAGGATCTGAAAAGTGCGGTTCATTTTACCAGATGATATTATTTTTGATGCCGTTTGATTTTATGTCATATTTTCACTTAATTTTTGTATTCTTTATTTCAATCAATTCAAAGAATCTTTCAACAATATACAAATCTTTCTGTAAATTTGATTTTTTTTTATTCTTAAAATTTTGTACAATTTCTTTTTCTTCAATTTTTATACAAATTTCAATTTGAAACGCTCTTTAACTTTGCTAAAGAGCGACAAGAAAAGAGAAAAAAGAATTCGAGTCAATTTTGCTGTATAGATTAATAATACAAGTAACGTAATAATAAATTTCCATAATCTCGAGTTTATTAATCTAGATATCCTAAATATTTGTGACACATTTCACAGCGTGAGTTATCGTTATCTCATTTTACCATTTGCTAGTAGATGACACTAATTAAGTCGTTATAACGTCATTAATATCAACGGTTTACTTATGATTTTGAAAAATAGGGAGGGGAGGAGTTAGTTTATTTTCGGAGATTTTCAACCAAAAAAATCTACATCGCATAATTACACAACATGCCTTTTACTATCTATCACGAAAATAATGGTAGATAAATTAAAAAAGCCAATCGATGTAAATCACTTTTCCAACAATGCATATATAATTCGAGCAATCGTGATACTCCTTATCAAAACCCTGAACTTTTTTTTTTTGTACGGATTTTCTCGATTGCATATTTGACGAGAAAGAGGATAGAGTCTAGTCGACCTTTAAAACAATAATAACTAATAATGGGAAATTTATCAAAGGAGGTACAACAACAATCACTTTCACCGTTTGGACATGCAGTCGCAGGTGCACTAGGTGCTTTGATTGCCTTAGCGATAACGTATCCTTTAGACATGTAAGTTTCCTTTGTTTTTCCCTGGAAAGAATGTTGCTTCGTGCGAGAGAAATGCTTTGCTCGAGTGGAAAAGCGAGATCAAGATATTAAAAATTATAATATACAAAATCTCCTAGAATAAAAACGAGGCTTCAAGTTCAATCCAAGCCAAAATATACCGATCAAAATCAAGAATCAGAAACATCGTATTATAATTCTACATCGGATGCGATCTATAAAATTTTATCCACAGAAGGGATAGCTGGACTCTATGCAGGACTTCCAGCTGGATTAATTGGAGTCGCATCTACAAATTTTGCCTATTTCTACTGGTACTCTATTATACGGTTATACTATCAACGTACACGCACACCAAATCCATCAACGGCGGCCGAACTTTTCTTGGGTGCATTAGCTGGGGCACTTGCACAAATATTCACGATTCCTGTATCTGTGATTACCACTCGACAACAAACGGTCTCCGCAGGAGAACGCAAAGATCTCTCTGGGACAGCAAAAGAAATAATTTCAGAGGATGGAGTGACTGGATTATGGAAAGGATTAAAACCTTCGTTGATTCTGTGTGTTAATCCCGCGATCACTTATGGCGCATTTGAACGCGCCAAAGCTATAATGTTGAAAAGGCAAGGAGGAGAGGAGTTGAACCCAGCCAGTGCTTTTTGGTTAGGTGCTTTTAGTAAAACGGTTGCGACCGTTGTCACTTATCCTTATATTATGGCTAAAGTGAGATTACAATGGAGACCACCAAAAAGCTTAAATAAACTATATTCAAATGAAACATTATCATCATCACCTACTTTTACTCCAAATGAAAATGATGATAATAATAGTAGTAGTAGTAGTAGTAGTAATGATAAAATTTACGACAATGCAACAAGTACGCAACGATATACTGGAGCAATTGATGTGTTGCGTAAAGTTCTTGCAAGAGATGGATTACTTGGATGGTATACGGTGAGAAAATCACTCCAATTAATTAATGGTTTATTATTTAATTAATTGGATGGAAATTTATTGAAAATTTATTGATAGGGAATGCAAGCACAAATCACAAAAGCTGTTCTGTCCCAAGCCATATTATTCTATGCAAGGGAGTATACCACGCGGTATACTTTGTTGATGTTTGCGTTTATTACTAGACTTTGGATAAGTCGTCGTCGAGTAATTTAAGAATACTAATAATAACAATATTATATTAAATCTATTACCATTTTTCGTTTTAATGAATAAAAGTTTGTTCCAAATTCCAAATTGATCGAAGTGATTGTTCGATTAAGATTTTTGAATTATTATCATATCGCAGCAAATCGATAAGCTAATTTTTTTCGATATGAAATCCAAGTACCCTGACTTTATTTATAGATCTGTGACTCAATACTACGCTAACGTTAAAAGGGCAATTTCCGAGTAATGGTGCAATTTCATCTGTTTGAGACACTGACTATGTTCCTAATGTGAAGATTAAACGCTAACTTTATATATTCAATTGCTAACTCCAATGAGCGTGATGATTTAGAGTATAAGTTACAATCTACTTTATTCTACTCAAATTTAGAGATCTGATCCCCAAAGATTAGAATTCCAATCGATTATTCTATGTAATTCATCCATTGATGACTACTCATTCCTAATACTCAAGAAAATCACGTGAGCATGTAGTTGTACACCATACGCAACTATGAACATTGTTAACAAAACAAACCAATAAAGACCCATCGATTAACCTTCCTTACCTGCAGCCATAGATTCATTATGTGCCCCGTGTGTGCGCCCATTGATTTTGGATCGGTAATGAGCGTAAGAAAAAATAAAGTATTAACACTAACTAATAATCAGTATGATGCGTTTTTGTATATATGTGACAATACTGGTAAATCAAGTTTTGGAGGGAGAGCAACAGTAACACAATTTGGAGATAGATAATACATTAGATTAGGTTTGATACCATTTTTTGTACCCTGGGTATTAATAGGGAGTTCCCGTGCTACGCGTCTTGAGCTCTTGTTTCTTGTGGGCTGTGTGGCTTGATTTCCTCTTTAATGCAGATGTTGAATTCCAGAAAATACTTTGCAGTCGCTTCATTCAAAAATTTTAAGATTTTTTTTACTTGTGGCAAAAATAATTATAATACTAATCTAGAGAAATAGGATCTGTTAGCTACTTTTTTGATATATATTAACTTTTTTATACAAGTGTTTTTTTAAGTGGAAATGAGTAAAGTGTAATCGATGGAGGGGGGACAACGCATTATAATTAATTATAATGATAGTATTATGAAACTACGTCGCTCGTAGTTGCTTTAATACAAAAATAAATTGTGTATGTGTAAAATTTGAAAAAAATATACAAATGCAATAATTACAAAAGAAGATAAATGAACTAACAGTTCCTTGAAGCACGCCATGTGTTATAAAGGTGATGCTTCAGTTCGACACAATAGAGTTAAGGCTTCGATAGCTGCGCGTTCGTCGGGAATTACAGGGATTGATGATAATGAAATGAAGCTATTTGATTGGGAAGAAGGATGAGAAGGTGAACGCGAAGGATGCTGTTGATATATAGGAAATTGATTAGATTGATATAAATTATTCTCTATCCTATCATTTTCTCGCTCATCTATAAATCTCGACGGATAGTCGGATTCTGCTACTGTTAGATTTGGAGGGGATGGCGTTACTTTTGGTGTACGAGGCTTTGGTCTAGGTGTAGGAGATGTCGGTCTAATCGTTTCGGTGATAAATTCATATCGACGTGTTTGAGGCGTAGGTGTGACAGGACTTAATAATCCATCATTTGTTTTCGTGTTATTTGTTGGTGTTTGATCAAATCCAATTTGGAGACTTGATGATAAACTGGGTGTATTTGGCGTCATAGGAGCTTCCATTGTTGTTAATGTTCTATGATCTGATATGGGAGATGAGGTGTAATTTGATGGAGTAACGGCACTTAAATTAGGTTTTTCAGAAGATTGATAAGAAACACTTCTGGTTTTTTTACGAGATTTTCGTTGCATTGAAATAGAATTTCGTCTTATTGGACCAGCAACCGAATGTCTTCGTCTTTTTGAAGAGATTAACTTTTGTGGTCCTAATGATCTCCAATCTTCTTCTTCGGTTGAAGATGTTCCATGAATCTCTTCACGTTCTTCCAGACGAATATCCTTAACAAAAGCATCCCTTTCTTCCCGTTTGCCATCTCTTCTTTCTGCTGCTTCTTTTTCTTCTTGCGCAATACACCATCTACCTCGGCCCATATTTTGGAACTGTGGGTTAGATTCCAGAACTTCAGCAAAATCAGATTCCCAAACAGGAGGTGCCTTCTTAAATACAGGATATCTATCTTTTATCAGAGTTGCGAGTTCACGAATTGTTTTTTGCTTTTTTGTTGTCTTAAACATTTCGATAAGTAATTGCAACCAAGCCTCTGTACTCATACGATTGTATTTGATAATAGTGTTATTATTGTCATTATCACCGTCATCAATAACAATGTCATTTTCCCTCTCAACTTCAACTGCAACTTCTTCCGGACTTTTCACTCTGATACTTTCTTCAACCAATTCATCATTATCTGATGCTTTTTCCTCCTCTTCATGTTGAATATCTTCATCATCATGAGATTCTCCCTTTTCTGGTGGTGGCGTTGGCGGTGAAGATGATGCCGATGACATATGATCATCCGATTCAACGTCGTCATTTTTATGCAGTCTTCTCGAAGACCTCGTGCGTTTTGCTTGTCTTGAGGGTTTGCGTGTTTTTACAGGATCTGGTCTTTTTGTTGTCTTTCTTGATGATTGCCGTGGCTTGGATTTTACTTCTTTAATGGATTTTACGTTTTCAAACGGGGAACTTGGTTCTGAGATTACTTTCATATTTTCTTCCTCCTCCTCCACCTCCTCTTCTTCTTCGTCATTCTCTTCAGCTTCCTCTTCGGCCTCTTTTTTCAATATTTGGACAGCTTTCTGGTCAATGTAAGTCCAGACATTACGACCAACTATACGAAAACACTAAAGACGGAAAAAACGTCGCATAAAAAATTCAACTGTCTACAAACATTCTTTCAAATTTTATTAAAAGTAGAAAAAGACCTACCTCATAATTATTCAATGTCCTATTGACACTCGAATGCCAAAATTCTGGATTCTGAGAGGCGTAATAAGGATATGTTTTGACTATCCATTCAAACAATTCCGTTTCTTTATACGTCAGTGTAGCCTCATAATCGTGTTTGAAAGCTTCGATCAAAATGAGCAACCAACTTTTTTCCGGTTTCTCAAATTTCGGTTTCACCGGTCGACTACTACTATACTTTTTTTCCGGAGGAGTGACGACGGGAGTGGGTGGTTGTCGAGGTCGAGTTTTGGTTTTTGCCATCGTTTTTTTGGATAGGTATACAAAGAATTCACTTTAGATTGTAAAGTGTAGACGTTAGGTAGATTGATTTTATATGAAAAGGGTACCAAAAAAACTCATCAACTTTTTCTTTTTTGAAACCAAACGAAAGATATACAAAAAGAACAAAAGCACATTCGTATTTTTCATGGGGCGGTTTGTTAATAAACGTAAACAATAATAAACCAATAAATCGACTATGATCTGATGACTTTGCGAGTAAGTTATTTTTATTTTTGTGTATTATTTCACCAACCTACTTGTGTAAATATAGTCTAGCAGTCTGGGTACTTTCAATTTCCCAATAGAATCCGTTCACGTGTATTTGCATGGCAAATACGTAAAATTTTTTCTCTTGTGACTCATAGTTTTTCCGTGGTTATTTTAGTGTCTATAGCGGAAATTTAGTTTATCGTGTGGACTTTAGCTTTAGCAATTACGAAATAATAAAGTTTCGATGAAAATCATTCCAAACTACATGTTAATATAATAGCGTTATAAGCTGGCTTGCTGTATTTGAACTTAGTTTTATTTGAGAATATCATGCCAAATAAATTTTATTTGTATTGAGATGGTAGTGTACAAGATCGAGGCAAAAATAGCCTCGAGTACCAGATAGAAATTAGTGCTGGCAGATAAACCTCAGACACGTAGAGAAACTTGTCAAAACTCTCTGATTAAACTTTGACTAAACTAGTTTTAACTATCAACCAGAGGTTTATCTGCCAACGCTAGTAGAAATGCGTAGAGTGCACACAAATCATGCAGATGATTGATTGGACTCTTAATTTATGATCGAATATTATAATCAGGCCGAATGTAGAAATTTTTTTAAAGGTAAATTTTTTCATGCTTAATTTAATTAAATGAATACTATAATAAAATTAATCCGACCAGCACCAGCTTGATTGTTTTCTATATAGTAAATGATACATCATCAGATCAACATTATTAAAAAAAAAATAATTTAAAAGTGGAATATCATTGTTATAACTTTACCCAAAATGTGGTTATTGTATTGAACAAGTATTTGGATGAAATCTTATCTATCGCAACAAGGAATAATATGTGATTAACGTTAACAGCGTTATTATGATTAATTTTAAAAGGTATGCAGCTAACCAAAAAGAATGCTCCCTGCAAATTTAACTCTTGTATTATATGTAAATTTAAGCAAAAGCTTTCGGCCAGCGATATTATTCATATTTATAAAAATTAGAATTTTTCACCCATCCATCCATCCATCCATCCATCATCAATCATCACTTGGTTCATAAGTTCATAATGAACTGTCAAGAACTTTCCGGATTTCTTCCTTTTGTTTATCGGTCAATCGTGTTGGGAATTGTACTTTATATTTAACAATTAAATCGCCTTTCCTACTTGGATCTTTTGTGGGCATTCCTTCGCCTAGAACTCTTTGTTCTTGGTCAGGTTGTATTATATTTTTACTGGAGATTGCTAGTGTTCTCCCGTCTAACGTCTGGATCGGCTTTTTGAATCCAGATAGAGCTTCCACGAGGGTTATGCTTAAAGTCATGATGAGATTGTCCCCGTCACGCTTATAAATTTGATGCGGTTTTTCTTCGAGGACAAATACAACATCCTGTGATACTCCATTTGGCAGTTCATCACCGGAATTTGCAAAGCGAAACTTTGAGCCAGCTTTCATCCCGGGACGCACTTGAAGTTCGATAACTTTATCGGCAGTAACTTGTTTACTAGTCGCACTATCAAATAGTTTTCGAGTGATCTTCATTTTTTTCGTGACACCTTTATATAGATCCTCGAGAGTGAGTGCAATTGGTTTTACAACTTCAGTATTTGCTTCACTGGGTGTGCGTGCACCGAAAGATTCCTGAAACATCCCTGTTCTTCCGGTACCTCTAGCGTTTTTCCCAAACGATCCTTGACGAAATCCCGAAAATCCACCAAAAGGATCATCATCATCATTTGACATCCCTCCGAAGTGCTTCATAAATTCACCAAATACGTCATTCGGATTAGATGGAGTAAAACCTCTACTACCACCAGGACCTATTTTTTTTTTGTCACATAAAATTAAGTTAACGAGTTCCTTTAATGATTATAATGAACATTAAAGTTTAATTTGATAATTTACCTGTAGAAAATGTATATTTGACGTTTGAACCAGGGAACCCACCAAATCCACCTGGGAAACCACTACCGTCTCCTTGCGGAGGAGCACCTGTTAGACCCTCTTCACCATATGCATCATATATTTGACGTTTATCTTTATCGCTTAATACTTCATATGCTTCGCTTATTTCTTTAAACTTTCGTTCCGCTGTTTCTTTGTCACTGTCGTTTTTGTGTCTATCCGGATGCCATTTTAAAGCTGCCCAAAAAGTGTTCAACAGTCAGTATAATTATGAAATCTAATACGGTCTACTCACTCTTCAATGAGACATAAAATTTTCTGCGTACCTAGCTTCTTGTAAGTTTTTTTAAGTGCCTCGTCATCTGCGTTCTTGTCAACTTCAAGAATTTTATAATAATCTTTTCCCATTAGTGAAAACGTTTAAGGATGTCAAAAATTTCAAACAGGAGAAGGAGTAAATTCGAGACAATTAATATACGTCTATCAAAAATGTCTCATATGATGTCATTTCCGTGATGTAATTGAAAAGAAGGTTCGAGATTATACTGGAATCCTGGAAGGAACAAAGCTTTATCAGCTGGGTTGTGACTATCGCTTCAAACGCGCGTATAATTTTTACATATTCTACAAAAATCACGTTTTTATTTTTTTAAATACTAACAACAATCTTTGTATTTTTCTAATTAGAGATCACGAAAAAGTAACAAATACAGCGACAAATATCACGACAAATTAATTTAATTTAGACATTACCACGTTTTGTAGTACTAAAGAAAGTTCTAACTACAAACACCTGCAAAGCTGCCATCCCAACAATCAACGTACTCTCCAATAACGCAAACCAAAAGATGCGATTTTCTGTACTCTTCACTGTAGAGAAGTTACGATTTTCTCGTGTTCTAAAGTATTTTTGACTTCTGGCGATGGTACTTAGGCTGCCACTCAGCCTAATTAGACTTTCCTCCATATTACTCGTCTGCTCGGGAGTTACTCCTTTTGATGGTGGTAGTTCAGCACGAGGTTCATTCTCAATCGTAATCTCAAAGTCAACAATTTTTTCAGCAAATGTTGACATATCATTGGCGAAACAGAATGAATATTCTCCGACAAAATTTGCGGTAAATACAAAATCTCCTTGTCGTTCTCGATCTCCATTGATGACAAGTTTGTCTCTTGGATCAGTCACTGTGTAGTCAATGTCAAAAGATCCGCCGGATTGTACCTATAAAGTTGCATTTAATGATCGTTTAATCTCACAAGACCGAATGTTTTTTAATAATAAAAGATTATGTATGTATGTTTAATCACAAACACAATGTGTTGATGAAATACAAATTTGACAAAATTTCTATCGCTGATATCATTACATCACTTATTTATTAAGTTTTTCTTAACATTACCCCGAGAATCTTTTCAAATTCTTACCGCAAAGTAAAATGAAACTTTTTCATAAGCTTTATCTACCCATGCGTAAAAACAAGCCTTCTCATGAGCAGCAACGTTGTACGTTAAAGCAGTCCCCTCCGTAATGTCAGGCCAAGTCAAAACAATAAGAGTGCATAAAAGCAATGTTATAAGTGATATTATCCTTGCCATTTTTTAAATAATATAGTATCCTCATAAATTGGCAAAGCTTTTTCTGCACATGCATATCTTTTATTATCATGAAGATCATAATATATATGTATATTATAATAATTTATATTATATTGGTGTAGACGGTTTAAAAAAGAAATGGTTGGTCTCTTGTGTTGTGTTGTGTTGCACTGCATCTCCGATAATTGGTTTTTCTTCGAGATTCTTTTTTAACACAAAATATATAATTCGCTCTTCTCTTTTTACCCTCTCATCTCCCTTGACAGTTTGGGGATTTAACTTTTGACGGTGTGCGTCACCTGCAGGTGGAGTACACGACCGATCGCTGGTGTTTTATTTTGCTGTAACTTTTGACTTTGTGGAAGACACTAATAACAGTAATAATACAACAAACACGCGCGAAGAGAGAGCAACTTTCCTTTACTTATACTTCTTTTTTAAATCACCTCTCATTTTTTTCAAACTACATTCTACTTTTTCTTACTATTTTTTCCTTAAATTTCACGGCCTGCTCGACCGTTGCTTTATAGCATACAATAAAATTATTCACGCAGTGTACAAATTATTATTTTACGATTTCAGCCAAGACAAACCGATTGATCGATTCTTGACTGAAAAGACCATACTACTACGAGCATCCCATAGATAATACATAAATTTCGACAAATAAAAAATCAAATAAAATTATATTACTAAAAATGGAAGTCCCAACATGGACTCCTCTACCGAAATTCGGTTATGGCTTTGCAATATATCCTTATGCCCCGGGAGCACCACAATTAAACGCTTCGGATGATCCCGCTAAAGCCACAAATAATGACGGTGCATCGGACACCGCATCAATAAATTCAGCAGATTTAACTTCTCCCGCGATTACTTATCAAGTTCAATTGGAAGTTGGTGATGAAGTTTACGTGTTTGAGGAACAAGGAGCGTGGTACCGTGGCTACGTAGTCTCACAGTTACGACAGACTGAGGAACCGCAAGTTTATGTGGGAATATTTCCGATTAATCACGTATATATAAAAGAATATTTAGAGAATGTGGAATTAGGTGTACATAAATTTAAAGAAGAAGAAGTAGTTGATCCTTCATTTTCACCATCACCCGAGCGCAAAAAAATTCGTCCTCCGCCTCCATTACCATCACTCACATGTGGAGACGATACAATTAGCGGTAAAACCGAACCACTTATTGATGAAATTGCCAGCACAGTACGAGAATGGAGTAGTCTTTTGCCTCAATATCTTGAACAACGTCGATACAGTATGTTCAACACTGTTAAAGAGCAAATCAATAATTTATTGCAAGGAAGACGTCAATTACTTGCTCAAACATTGTCACATGATGAATTAAGTAAATTAAGAAAAGAACTGATTAATAGACTTGTTTCGGGCAATTTGATCCAAGAGTTAGATATCATTGTTCGTAATCCAGAGAAAGGCTTTCTTGCCGATGAAACTAATATATCAGCAATCCAACTTTATCAATTGCAGGCTCAATTGGCAGTAATGAACGTTGATAAATCCTTATGCTCGGATCCCCTTGCAAGTGTTACAACTGGAACACCACAGACTAACTTTAACTCTTGGTCTAATTCACATCATTCCGATAGTAGTACAAGCGGAAGTAGTGGAAATATTCATGCTGCAAAATTTTACCATGTATTTCTAGATTTGAAAGCGTGGGTGGCTTCAATATCAACCATCGGTGAATATACGGAACTTTACTTTTCATTATATACCAAAACGGACGCACGGTTCATAACAGAAGAGTATTTTATTATTCTTAATCATAATGGGGTGCCAAAAGATCAAGCAAAGATCGGGAAAATGCGCACACTTTTCACCGATCTTTCACCTCATGATATTCAAGATGATATATTTCTAGTGTGTCGAATTGTTCGTGCTGGAAGTATGAAATTGGTAGACAAAGATAAAGATGCACAGAAAGAAAATGGAGCAATGTCTGGTTTATTTTCGAAATCATCAAGAGATTCCGAATTCATTGATCAATCAACAATTTCCATACAATCAATTGGAAAATCGACTTCTCAGGTTTTTCGCAGACCATTTGGATGCGCTGTCTTGGATATTAGTCATCTTTTACAGGGAAAAGAAAAAGAATCACTAAGCGAACATGTAATGCCAATATTTGTGTCGACTCAAGAATCAACTTTCGCCACACTCCACGAGGACATAATTCACAATCGCACTAAAGAATTTGAGAAATCATCACGCGCTGAAATGGTCAGTGTTTCAATTCGTCCATTCCACGGAGAGACTGCAACGGTTATTAAAGAGAATCCAGCATTACTTCAAGGAATTCCAATTACATCACGACTTGGATTTGCGGATGTAGTATTTCCGGGTGATTCTCGAAATGAAATTTATCTGAAACTATGGTCGGGTGATTTCAGTCAAGGACGATCTACGACTGCTAAAAATATTCAAGTGACTGCCGAAGTAAGATTAAACACGGGTGAAATATTGGAACATGCAATTTCGCAAGGCTCTGGTGAACCTCAAGTGACACAATTCGAATCGCTCGTATTTTATCATTCTAATAATCCAATGTGGGGCGAACTAATAAAATTAAAAATCCCGGTTGATTTGTTTGAGCAAGTTCATGTTTTCTTTACATTTCGACATCGGTCAACTAAAGACAAAAAAGAAGATAAGATGTTTGCATTTGCATATATGCCCTTATTCCCAGAAAATAGAGCATTTATCAGCGATGGAAAACATTCTCTAATACTCTACAAACATGATAGGCAATTGACCAATCCAAGCGTTTACATGAACTCTCCTTGGTCAAATGCTGCGACTATTCAATCAGAGCCAACATCACCCACTTCGCTTGGTCACACTCATCATCACAATAATTCGAGTACCTCATTAGTATCAACCGGCAGTAGTCATCATCATAAATTGATGGTATCAAAAGACATTGCGATAGTACGAACATTTCTATGTTCAACAAAGTACACGCAAAACGAGGTACTTTTGAAACTACTGAATTGGGAGAAACAGTTAAAGTCAGATGAGAACGAAATGATGTCTGTGTTAAAAAAATTCACTTTTGTTGGTGAAGTGGAAATTGTCAAATTTCTTCAAGATATTTTTGATGCGCTATTCGGAATATTAGTCTCTTCGCAAAATCAACAAAGTGAATTTGACGATTTGGTTTTCAACGCATTGGTTATCATTCTTGCTATCGTATCAGATCGTCGATTTATGAATTTCCGACCTGTCTTAGACGTATATATTGAAAAGCATTATTCATGTGCCGCTGCTTCATCTCATCTAATCCGCTCGATGAATCGACTTGTCTCTGATCCCGGAAATGTTGATACCGCCAAAAATCTTCGTTCTGCCGTCAAAGTTTGGCAATATCTTTTCAAATTTATTATACGGTCTCGTGAACTTCAGCGTACAAAAGAAACAAACATAGGTGTCAAAGGGAACTACGTTGAAGAACAATTCAAAAAAGATCTATGGGCTTTATTCAAAAGTATCGATCGATTAATGTCTCTTACCACACCACCATCAATAATTGGTACTCAGACTTTAGCTTTACAACACTTTGCGTCAATCTTTACTGATTTAGGAAAATGTTTCTCATCCGATGATCTTGTACAAATTGCCATCAAGTTCACTGAAAGTGTTCGATTACCGAAAGGCAAATTGCTTGCTTATAAATTGCTGGTGATATTACAATTCTGCCGAGGACCTTTATTTGAAAATGCAGAATCACGAGCTACACTTTTAAGACGTATAGTCGAATGGGTAAAAGATCATATGGGAAAATGGGAAAAGACTGGTAATGATCAAGAATCTGCTGAACGAACGCAATGGCAAGATGGGTTGAAGTTATGTGTTACTATAATTGGAGTGACATTAGAAAGTTTGCAGAACTCAATTGGAAACGCATCTGATGAAGGGGCAAAAGAAATGGAAATTGAGAATGTTTGTGTTATTCTTCCATTATTGATGAAATTATGCGAATCCTACCGAGAATTACAATATACAGCACAACGTATACCGCGTGGAAGAACTGTATCAAATGGCACGGCACTTCAATCGGCAATGTCTATGTACTCTGGAATTCCGCCAACTCCAACGACAGGAAATTCTTTACGATTTTCCAAAGATTTTTCTCTGAGTTTTAATTTAACACCTTTAACACCGACATTAACTTCTGGTTTAGGCGAAATATCAGCAGTTATATTGCAGATATTTTTCTTAACCTCTCAGCAACAAATGAAAGAACATCTTTTATCACAATATTTTAGGGAAGGTGCCGATTCAATGGCTGAATATTTGATTCTCTTGTTTAAAGTAGCGCAATCTATTCTGATAAATGACGCGTTCCCAGAATCATGGTTAAATATGAATATTATGACGCACAAAGTTCTGCTGAAATTACTAGAACCGGTTTCCTCATTACTCGAAAAGAATTATATTCCAAACAGAGCTAATGCAGATGCTTTCAATGAGAGATTATGGCGTGAATACTTTAGTTGTCTGCTCACCTTGTTATCTAGTAAACATTTGGTCATTGAAAACTTTACTCCACAAAAACGTCGTGCTGTATGGCGATTGGCTGGTGATATTCGTGGTCGTGGAGCACAATTATTATCTAAATTATGGAAGGCTATTGGCCGGGAAAGGGGTAAAACAGGAAAAATAGGTGGATATCAAGCTCATTATGTTAGTGCACTGTTGGGTCCAATTTTGGAATTATGTCTCTCGCATCACGATGAATTACGCACGTCTGCTATAGGAGTATTGTTTAGCATGATTTTGACTCAATATTCACTCGATGAGAATTTCAAAAAAATGGAATCGGACATTATTGACAACTTGGATCGATTATTTATGTCTGAAAAGAAGGGTGATGAAATATCTCGTGCATATTTTATTGCACATTTAAAACGATTATTTGAAAATAAAAAGACTATCGACAAACGTCTTCGTGTGACTGTCACAGATTTCTTGGACTCACTCGGTCAATTCTTGGAACTTTTGCTCGGTGTACGTGAATTGCCTGAAGGCGAAGAATATCAGGATGATCGAATAATGTGCACACTTAAACTTATGAAATTCATTAAATCGATAGAACGGGATGAAATCTACGTCAAATATGTGCATCAATTAGTGTACATGCAAGCTAACAGCAATAATTTTGTCGAAGCTGGACTGACATTAAAACTTCACGCAGATTTATTCAAATGGGATCCGAATTCAGAACTGGAAGCAATTCCGGAACTTGATTTACCAAAACAGTCACCATTCGCAAGAAAAGAAAGATTGTACATTCAAATATTAGATTATTTTGTTAAAGGTCGAGCATGGGAATGTGGAATTGAACTATGCAAAGAATTGGTTCGACATTTAGAATTCACCACTTATGATTACCAGCGACTTTCCGATATTCTCAAACAGCAAGCTGTCCTCTTCGAGAACATTATCAAAAAGGAGAGATATTTTAGTGAATATTTCCGTGTTGGATTTTATGGGCGCGGATTCCCGGCTAGCTTACAAAATCGTCAATTCATATATCGTGGATATGAATGGGAAAAGATTGGTGCATTTTGTGAAAGAATGCAAAACAAACATCCACAAGCACAACTTTTGAAATTCAATACACCACCTCCGGATGATATTTTATATGATGATGGACAATTCTTACAGGTGACTGCCGTTACGCCTGAACCTGATAGGGATAATCCAGTATTTAAAGGTGACATTTCATCGTCTGTTCGCGGATATTACGAGCACAATGCAGTGAATACTTTTAGTTTTTCGCGCCCAGTTAATAAGAATCCAGATGGCGTCAAATCAAATAATGAATTTCTGGATTTATGGACAGAAAAAACGATTCTTGTTTCTGAGGAAACGTTCCCGACCGTACTACGCCGTTCCGAAGTTGTCAACGTGGAATTGATTGAAGTTTCACCGATAGAAAATGCTCTCGCAGCAATGAAAGCTAAAAATCGCGAATTACTGGCGCTTGAAGCGAAATATGGTGCACATTTAAAAACAATTAACTTATCAACACCGACAAGCACTAAAATAAATACAAATCCACTGTCAATGTCTTTGAATGGTGCGGTAGATGCTCCCGTCAATGGTGGTGTTCCAATGTACAAAAAAGCATTCTTTGATACTGATTTCTTGACGGCTAATCCGGATAAAGAGCTTTTGGTTCAAAAATTAAAAGGAGCAATTGATGAACAGGTTGGCCTATTCTACGCTTGGTCAATTTGATATGCATAGAATAAAAAAACTCATTTTCAAATTTACTTATTTCTAGGTTGAGATTATTGATCGATGTTTGGAATTACATGATCGTCTTGTTGCTTTTGATATGCGTCCTTTGCATGATACATTAATAAAATGTAAGTTTAGTTCTTATTCGCATTTTTATAATTATGTTTCTGAATCATATTAAATTTCTAATTCCCAATCTAATTACCTTATAACAACAGTCTTTAACAAAAATTTTGCTGATGAAATAAGTCGATTATCGGAACGCAAAAAAGCCGCAGCAGCTGCAGAACCGCCCGCCAAAATACTATCTTCTCAATTATCAAGTTCACCTACAGAGGCAAATTCACCGATAACTATTAGCAGCTCATTTCGTAAACCATCCCTTTATGCGATGGCTCCATTTTCTGGTGAGTCAACATCACCAGTCTCGCCAACGGCCTCTTCCAGTGCATCAATTATATCTCGGGTAGCTGCCGCTAAATTACAAACAGCACGACCATCAATAATAACACAAGGTCTAAATAATTATGGCAGCAACAACAGCAGCAGCAATAATGATGCCATTAATAGTAGCAATAGCATCGTTTCCAGTAACGGTAGCCACGTCACAATCATTTCTTCAAATAATAGCGGAAACAGCAGCAGCTTTAGCAACCACAAAAACAATGATCGTATTTTTCATGGATCTCCTTCAAATTCTTCATCGGATGTCGGAAGCCACATTGAAGTTCCGTCAAGTCCAAATGGTGACACTATTACCGAAATACCAATGATTAGTCATCAAAGAAAGGGATCTATCTTGAAGGAGAGAAAAGGATCGATGGTATTTGGAGAACGACGTATGACCATTAAGAAATGGTCATTGAACAGGAGTCGTAGTACGACTCGTTAATTAATTCAAAAAATTTTATTTCAAGGAGAAAAAGATAAATATAATTTAATATAATTGGGCTTGGTTATATTTATATTCGGATGGCAGGCATTTAAATTGTATAGTAATGTAGTGGGTTAATTTGGGAAAAAACATTTCTTTTTCTTTTTTCATGCCTATCTCCTTGTATAAATATTCATCTTCGTCAAAATCTCGCAATCACTTTCTTCATTTAAAATTCTTGACGAAATGAAAAATTTCTTTGGGCAATTTTCATTAAAATCTTAAAAACACAATAATTAATTAATCACTTTTTATATATATATATATATAATTTGGGGGGTTTTAGAACAAACTTTATTTATCAATCAATCAGTACGCATTCATTTTTTTCCATGTTTGTCTTTTTTGTATCAATATTTTTTTTGTTCAACTTGTAAAAAATTTATATCATTTTAATTATTATCTTTACAACATTACCAAATCAATTAATATTAATCTTTTGGTATCGATAACGATAACGATAATCAATACGAATTTATATTAAGCATGGTGCACATGATTACTTTAAAAGATCACTTGAGTCACCAAATGTTTACTGAAGATAAAAAGCCCTTTACAGAACTTTGCTAGCAGAAAACATTACATAATTTCTCGTATGAAATATTAAATTTAATATTGTTATGCCAAAAGTGAAGAAATTATTTCATCTATGAAGCTTTGTTGTATAACATTGTCACGGGATAAAAGATCTGATTGATTAATCGGGATTCGAAAAGCTTAGAGTTAATATATTAATGCATTCAATAATACATGTTACGTGCCGCTTCAAAGGTACACACACATTCAAGGTGAATTTTAGTGGTGCTAATGAAAATATTCACGCCTGTGAAATAAAATGAGCAGATGCATGCATATCGATACGCTAAAAAATAATAACGTTTGAAAACATTAATTAAGCCACCTAAAAATATATATACAAACAATATTAAGTGAAATTAATAAATAATTTTGTATATTTTAAAGTGATATACATATATAATATAATAAATAAGTTATGATATATATAACATTTAACTAAACTTAATATATTGTATGTTTAAATTTTATAAACTAGAAAAATTTAATTCATCAATATAATCAAGGAATCATATTAACAGATTAAATTTTTGGTCTATTTAAAAAGTTTAAGCATACAATTTATTGATTAGCTTAGATGCATCATACTAAAATATATCAGAAATAATTAAATATATCTAAAAATAATTTATGCTTTTGCTAAAGTGTTTTTACTAGAATGGAAATTCTTCAAGTCAGAAAGATCTTGCAAATATCAAAATCAATTACTTGTTATCTATTGATGTTTACAAACCATTAGTACTGTATTCAAATCGTGTATTATCGAGCAACTATACCGTCAGAATAGGGATTTGACGTGTAAATGGAATTATACCTTTTATTAGATTCAGTAATATTAAATGTTCTTTTCTGTATGGAACAAGATATAGCAAATCTTTATTTAGTATATAACATAATCTAAAAACCAAAAAAAGATAATGTAAAGATACCAAAGGATAAGATGTACCCAAAGACACACGAACTTGATAATTGGGAAGCAAGAATTTCTGCATCTATAATAAATCATATAAAAAGTATTTGTTGAATGATGCTATCTAGTATTTGAAAATCAAAAGCTTTTAATGTCTTGGGCTTCGACTCCTTCGCCGACCATTTCCTTTATCGTCAGAATGCCTTCTCTTTCTACTAGATTCATCGTGTCTTCTATCATGTTCATGGCTTCCGTGCCGATCGTAATCCTTTTCTTTTCGATCATGAGTTGAACTTCGGTGTCTTCTATAACGTTCCGAACTTCGACTTCTTCGTCGTTCGTGGTCTCTGTCTCTGCTTCGTCTACGATCCCGATGACTTCGCTCATGTTCTCGTAGTCGACGTGATCTGGAAGATCCTCTGTCCGCACTTCTACTTCTAGTACGGCTGCGAGTGCGACTACGACTACGACGATATTCTCGATCCTCGTGGCCATCTCTAGCAGAGGCGCGACTATCTGCTGATATTCTAGGTTCTAGATCGTAAGAGGGAGATTCTCGCCTAATTCACGATAAGCAAATAACATCGTGTAAAAATATTGTTAATATTCTAATTGGATACAAGATTCGACATGTATTGTAAAACGGAAAGGTCGATCGCTTTTTTATTTTCTACCTCATTCCTTTGAAGGATCATCACTTTTACAATCCAGTCGGTATTAATAAAAAAAGGCAGCACCAAGGACCAACCTGAGGCAGATCAAAAACTCAAAAACAACAAGATAAAAAATAAATGCCAGACAAAGATTGCCTACCTTGGGGGAGGAGGTGGTGGTTGCGATCTTGCTTTCAACTTTTGATCAATATCACGGGCGATCGGAACGGGAATACGTGGCAACATCGTTCCAATCCATTTTTGTTCGGTCATTAATTGTCGACACATCTGTCCAATCGTTCTGTAGAAGAAAGATACGCATTTACAATAATTGAGTACAATAAATACGGGGAAAAAATCAAACATGAAATTTTTCACACTATTGTCAAACTCACGATTAAAAGTCAGAGTACACACACAAGAGCACTTCATAGAACATACATACATTATAACAGGCCTCGAACCTGCTTGAATTTGAATTTCTTCCTCGTCATCTAGATAATGCTCAAACCATCCCCATAAATCAGCCGGTTTACAAACATATCGAAGATATAAGAAGCCAAGTGCTCGAATGTGTCTAATAAAAAATCAGCGGTTAAGAACACATCACTAAAATAAAGTTTTTGAATTGCATGAGGATGTAGTAAAGACGTACTGAATACCCACGGTGAATCTGTATGATCAATCAATCCAGTGACTTGTTTAACGGTCAATCGCAAAGTCCAAAGTTTATAGAGCAAACAGAAAGCAGTTGAAGCAGTCGTTCCCTTGAGAAAAGGCTCTGATTTACCCAAAAATTCAATAGTATATTATATGACATTTAGACTTGTTTGTTTTACTCTTGTTTGTTAATAAAAAATTCTCTGAGAGGAAAATATGTGATATTTGTTTACCTACCAAGTGACGAGACTAAAGAAAATTAAAGTAAAATTTATTAACATCAACATTTATAGTTAACCCAAGACACTTCAAATATGAACTGTAGAGTTTACCTTCATTATAGATTTCATCTATGACTTCATGGTAAGTTTTCAGCTCGCTAAACAAAGTAAAAATAACATAAGTATCAATATTACTCTTTTCTCTTTTGCCTCTTTTGCTTAGCTTATAAGCATATCCGATGACAAAATATCTCGAATCATACTTGACTGATATAAATATATTCCTGAATACTTACTACAATTGTTTGAAGTATGGAGAAGCCTGAATATTTTGAAATAATATATTGTTCATATTCATTTTCTCATTACCCTCAGTTTCCAGCTTGTTTGTATGCTTCATTTTTGCTAAATTAGTTCACAATTTCAAGGTTGATAAAGAAAGCCTAAATTCGAAATACTCGACTAAATAAATTATGTTTTGAATATATATAATGATAATGTGTAGCAACAAAATCAACGTGAACATCAATCATGCTTAATTTAAAAATTTTTTTAATTATAAATATTGCACTTTCACTCGTAAATTTAACGCCTTCTTGGCTCAGTTGGCAGAGCGTCCGCCTAGTAAGCGGAAGGTCACCAGTTCGATTCTGGTAGAAGGCATCAAGTTATTCTTTTACAAATTATATTATAAACTAATAAATCCTTTTTATTTTATTTGCTATTTCCTAATCCTGTTTATCTCCTTATGTATTTTCTAATACTATTTATTTCCTAATATTATTTATTTCCTAATATTATTTATTTCCTAATACTATTTATTTCCTAATACTATTTATTCCTAATATTATTTATTTCCTAATACTATTTATTTCCTAATACTATTTATTTCCTATGCTATTAAGCAAAAAAGTTTTAATATTATTAGTACAGATTACCAATGATCTTCAGTTATATAGCGAACTATTTCAACTTTTCCATTCTTTTTCTTCTCATTCTGCCATTTTTCCAACCAAAAATCCATCAATTGGCAACTCTTTTCACAACTATAATTGAAAATTTCAAAGATCAGCAACATGTAAATGAAATAAGACAATCGATACTGTAAGGAAAATAATTTACTCCGTGTTGACCGTGGGTATGATCTTCTTTATGTCCAATGACAAGATGAACGCTGCTAATTCACGAAAACTCGAATGCTCAGAATACGGCACAGCATATATGTCACAATCTCTGGACGAATATAACGGCCTTAAATACTTAGTAGTATATGTTTTATAACTATTGAGTAAAGTCTCGCTAGAGACTGAATTGGAAACTATTTGGTCCTTGGGTGGACGATAAGCCCATCCCGTGGGTCGTATTCCAATCACTGATGTGTATGTTGGGCGTAAAGCATTCAGATGTGATCTCAATGTCTAATAAATAAAAGGAGTTTAATTAAGAGAAATCGTATCACAAAAAAGAATAAACGAGACTAACCTCTGTCTTTATAGCGCTAATCGATACAACATGTACTGATGCAGTATGGGGATCATCAGTCAATAGTGCTTCTAATTCTGGATTCTCTAGACAAAGAAGAATGCGTCGTTTTTCATTGGTTACGTATATTTTTGAATGAAGAGCCTTAGCAATACCTAAAAAAGACAGTAGAGTGAGCCGAATAATTTGCAAATATTCAGTCATCATTTTAAAACATAAAGCATTTGCCTCACCTAAGAAGAGTTTTTCTTTTCCAATCAAATAAGTTCCAACCACAACCAGGACATTCGAATTCCTTAATGAAACTTCAACAGGATTTTCAAATCTCGTTGCTTCTGCCGACCTAGAATTTGAACGAGTTAAATCCAAGTTGTCAGTGGTGATGGTGCTAGAATTGCTAGGATGATTCTGTATTTGCTTTTTGTTCGCTGGTGATTTGATCCATCGATCTAAAAAAGTTCCTTTATACAGGAGTTGCTGATCTTTGACAGCTTTTTTCACTAGTTCAATCACCGCATTTACCACATGCTCTTGAGGAGGAAAGCAATGTTGAGGATCCAGATATGTAGTATCTAGATAGAGAGCATCAATTGGCGGATTTTGTGGTTGGACTATCGCATCATGGATTACTTGTCGAGGACATGACCTTAAAATGGAAATTTGAATTTAAGTTAGATAAAATAATTGAAAATGAGAGATATTCTTCACTAGTAAAAATTATACGGAAAAAATACCGGAAATCACCAGTGTGTAAATATCGAAGGATTCGACCTCGCGAATCCATAACTTTAAATAGAAATAGTACAGAACCGGGGCAGCTAGAAATTGAAATATCAGAATCGTTTTTGAAATGCCCTTATATCAAATTAATATAATCCACCAAAACCGGAAGACAAAAAATATTAGAATACTTACTGATTTGCTTCTATTAAAGTAACAGAGACACCATTTCCATCAACATCAACTTCCTGATCCAATGGAAGTCTTCGAATGTATTTAGGATCAACCCGTAGATTTTGGATTGCCAAATTTCCCGTGACCACCGAGCAGTATATTGGTCCATGGTTCCATTTTGAAGTGAGCCCAGCATAATGATCCGAATGAAAATGGCTATAATAAAGGTAGAGTATCATTATAATAATCGAACAAGAAGATAATCCGATTACTTAAAGTACTGACCTTAGGAAATAAGCGTTGCAGTCAGATATTTGTCCATATGAAAATGCATCAACAGTAATTTGAGTTTCTAATTTGAATATCTTTAGTATTTTATAAATTAATGAAATATCTAAAAAAAAAAAGTAACAACTCGTATTAAATTATGTACCTGGTAATTTTTTGTACCCCGGACACGTCTTTCTTGTTTTATTTTCGGTATTTTTAATAGTATTGGAGGCTTTTTTCGATGGGCCGGCATATCCAATATTCTTTATAGTATTTTGATCATTGATTAAATTTCCGTGCTCTATCATCATTTCTTGCTCAATACCTATGGTAGCTACTTTATCCTTGAATGAACCAAAAAACATACTACGTGATAAGTTCTGAATATTACTCAATTTCAATTGCGAAGGGGTGGAGCTGATAGAAGCCAATGAAGTATCATTGAAACCAGTGTTATCAGTAGTATTTTTTAATGAGATGAAATTTGATGGGGTCGTCTTCTCAGTTGATTTATCTAAGCATTTATTAACGTGAACTTGTGACTGCTGTAAAATTCAAATTCAGAGATTAATCCTTTTAGACGCAAAATATTAATAATTAAACTGTCTTGCCTCAATCGAGAATCCCATCAATGATGAATCACATATTGGACACTTTGTCACCTCCATTGACTCCGAATAGATTTCTTTATGTTCAGGACTATCACTGTCATATAGAAAATCGAAGTCTTCTCCGCTCATATTTTCTTTGACGTTCAAACTCACATCTGCAGTATCGAAACCTTTTTCGACAGGCAAACTATTGAAGGTCAATCTCTCATGGCTTGTCGGTTGCTCTACTATTTCATCACATGTAAACTTTGTACAATCACTGGCTATAACTTACACAAGGGCTTTATCAGCCCCCTCCCCAGCATTAAAAAAATCAAATTTTTATACCTTGGTTAGCAATGGTGGTAGCGGTATTGAGTCCACCACCGGTTGACTTTCGGTCAAAGTAGTCAAATAAAGTCGTGCTACTCGTCTTGGAATAGGATACTTTAACAAAAGCTTTTGTACGCGAGCGTTTACTAGAAGAAAAAGGTTTCTTTGAGAGGCCATCGCCATTCTTAGTTTTATTGTTGGGCGTACTAAAAAATGAGTTGGTGGTTGGTATTAAAGAGGAGCTTGAATTCAGGCGAAAAGTATTCGGTTGGTTGTCGTTATTCGTTTGGCTCCGGCTTTTAGACGAAAAGGAACTTTGTTGAGTATTCAATGTTTGGTCCTGAATACTACCACGACTCTTTGTCAATTTAACTGTATCTTGATCCAAAAGCTCTTCGTCTGAAACTTTAAACATTTTTGTTAATATACATACGCCAGAAGAATCTCTACTTGATATCTATTGTTTCGCGCGTCCCCTCAAAAAATTCTCGATTAGGATACGCGATCAAATTGAAATTGCATAATAGCCAATCAAAAGCTTCTTATATATTTACTGATACATTTAATTAATAGTAGCATTAACACTAGTAGTAGCATTATTTATTTATTTCCTAGTGAACTTTCTTGACTTGATTGATAACTCTTTTCGAAAAATTCATTTGGATGATTAATTGCCGCCATCATTCCCTGTTCTTTGGATCCACCATGCGTCAACTCGAAAAACCTAGTACAAGCGATATTATAATGATGTCCTTTGACATAATCTATAATTTGTCTAATCTGCACTTTGTCTGTTACACCGGCATTGTGAAGTGTATGCGACAAATTAGCTTCAGAGAAGTGTCGAAATGGACAACCGTGATGATCTCCTTCGCCTGGTTGATTATTGGTGATTATTCTCATGCAACTGAAAATTGACGTGTGCGTGATTATAGGAAAAAAATTAGAATATTATGTGAATAATGCACTTATGTTTTGCATGATTAAGAATACTTTACTTCAATGGGGAATAATTAGTTCTTTTTCCTTCCATCCCGTAATTATGTCTGATGTTGTAGGCATAAGCTTTTTTTTGGAATTGATCATCATTGGTTTCGGAAAATGACATCCGCCAAAATCTGAGTGCTTCTTCCAAAGAAAGTCCAACTCCCTATAATAATAATATTATTATTATTATTATTATCAGAGAAAAGCAAACTTGGTAAAATCTTGATACTTTCAATAATCATACAGAAATTGAGAATATCTTACTTTTAAAAATAAATTATATTGCATTCTGCCATAGTGTTTCAAATGTTTATCTTCTCGAAGCTTTTTATGTAAGTGTCTCATGCATAACGGGAAATGTTCGGTCAACTGTAATATTTTTGAAAAAATAATATATTTTATGCTTAATGAGAAAAATATAGTATAGAAAAGAGTTTACACCACTATCTACCTGATCTATATCATCCGCGGTTATCTGTCCTTCGATTTTATTCGAACAACTATAGCCTTGACCGGATTTAAAGTGATTTAGTTGATTTAAAATTGGCATCACTTGACCCTCTTGATCAACCTCGGGAAGCGCTCGGCAAGTATCCTTCAAACGTTTAAAAAAAATTAACAAACCTTTATTCAATTACAAAAATTTTCAATTAATCGTTTTTACCTTTAATGTTTTATCGAGTCGATTGCGAAATTCGTCCATTACTAGCGCTACTTGATCCCGCATGGGCACATAAGCTTTGCCTCCTTTTATATACACCACACGACGTTTTACCAAATCTAACACTTTTTCAAAGTCAACCTTAACCAAAAAAAAAAAGGAAATATAACCCAAATAAATCTCCTTTATTCCTTATCGTAAATATAAATAATTCTAACTTAATTACCTCGAAAAAGGTTTCAGAAGCAAAATTCACGTGAGGCGAACTAGTCGTTAACTGTTCCTTCATTTCAGATTTTTCCTTATCATCGAGCTAATAAAAGAAACAATAGTTTATTTGATTTATATCCCATATGTATTTTGAAAGTTGTTACAAAAATACTTGCGCATTTCCAATTTAGATTATTTTCTTTTAGAAACTCTAGTTGTTCTGACGCGGATAAGTTAATAAATCTGAATCTGTGATATATAATATGCAACAAATTAGGATATTATTAACCTTGGAAGAATAAAACGAAAATAAAGTCCAAATACTTGAACAAAGCGCATTCGTATTTCAAAAACCATTGTCGTAGTTCCTCACTAATAATAGCAAATATAGAGAAAAATGACACGAAAAGTCAAATTGATTTCTTTGCAAAAAATCAAATACAACTTTAATAAATACGTTCGACAATAAGCCAGACGCAAGATAAAATGGGATATATGATCCTTTCTCCTTTCTTGTTGAATGGGATAGGCTTCAGAAGATAAATTTGTATGCAAAGGCAGATATTGTGCTAATACTTGATTCATATATTCTTTGGATTCTTTATCGGATTTATTTCGTAGGATAGTTGCTTCGAATTCTTTTAGAACTTTATTATGGATATTTATAATGCAAAGTAATATAAGTAAATTCAAACCACAAACGCACTATTTAATGTTAATTGCAGCTAGTAAATGTAATTTTAAAGCACCTGTTAACCTGTCCAAAGAAAAGCTTTCAAATTCTTCGATAGTAATTTCATCAATTGGTGGAATTGTATATAGGTGAAGACGTGAAGAATAGTGTTGTCGGTGTAGTTTCACTTCTCCTGTGTTCTTTTCACGCGAATTTATGCCTTTTGGCAAATTTATTTGTTCTTGTAAAGACATCTTTTGATTTTTATAAAGTCGAGAATGAATTTGGACGCGTCAAAACACGAGTTTTCTATTAACTAGAAAGTACATGATCAACTATCGCTATCACATTTACTACGACGCGACAAAATATGGAAATACTCCAATTTTTCAGAAGCTTTACCTTCTGCAGTCAAATTTACCAACTTATTAAGAGATAACCTCATAGAGGTTGCGAAGTATAATAAATGGATTCAAAGTATTCGCGAAGAAATTATGCTCAGGATTAGTAGTCAATCTCGTCCACGGCAATATAATTGGCCCTGAAAATAAGTTCGGTTATTTTCTTCGTTGGAGCGCCACGAGCATAAGAAATCGCGTCATCAAGCTTTGAAGTGAAATTCTGTCCGATAGTAACAAGGAATTTATCATCAGGATACTGTAATCGTTATTGATAAAATCAAATAGATATTCTGTATTATTTAATTTTCAGCATTTGAGAATTTTAATTTAGGTAACTGTTACCCAAAAAATTTTCACGGAATAAAAAAACCAATCCGATTATTTTATTCAAACTTATCAATTAGAAAATAATTTACTTTTGATAAAAATTGACAAATAAAAAGAAAAAGATTCAATTAAGAGTTCAAAAGGAAAAGATAAAATTAATATAAAAAGTTGTTCAACGCTGACAAAGTATCAATAAAAAAATGTACACCGCCTCGAAAAAGTCCACTTTTACCGACAACCAAACCACAAAACAATCTTTCCAACTCGATTTTCAGAGGTTTTATAAAGGTCAAACCCTAGAGCATAAGCATCAGATATCAGGAAAATTGACTATAAAAATTAATCAAGAGATGAGATAAAGTGGATTTGAATGGATGAATGGAAAATTAAATCAAGCAGGATAGGAACTAGTTGAAAGGGTGGTGGATGTCGGATATTCCTTTCCTTTCATCTTAACCCAATGCTTTTTTTAGTCCGTTCCATTTTCGTTTCAAGACTTCCCTCTCGTTCTCGCTTTCCGCATACCGCATTTTAATCTCAATCAACATATTCTCCAAAGTAGACAACTGATCTTCTAAATGCGTATTACGAGTAATTAACTCGACATTTTTCTCCGCCAAAGTATTCATATCTTCACGCACTCGATTTTCAACCGCCACGGGAGTAGTAGCCTCCAACGATTTCCGAAGATCACTGACAGTATGATGAAGTGTGTCATTTTCATCCTTCACCTTAGCCAATTCAATTTTTGTGTTTATCAGTTCATTGGCGATATCAATGTGCTCTCGATTAAGCGTTTGTAAAGAGCCTTCTAATTGTTTAACGTGCTGCGACAATTGATTGTTGGAGATACGTAGTCGTTCCATGGCGATTGTTTCGGCGGATCTTGCTTGTCGCTCGGTTTCTTGGTAGGCGAGGTACTGTTGTTGATATTTGTTGAGTTTCTTGATAGTTATCCGGATTTGATAAGCATCTTGGACAAACTCATTTGTATTGTATTGGATTTCTTTGCTATTGGTGTTTTTATTATTTATTCCAATTGGATTAATTGGATTGATCTTTATTTTTATATATAGAGTTATTGTTAGAATATGTATATTATTGTGAAATTAAAAATTGGATGTCAGATCATAAAAAAATACCTGATAACTGGTATATAGCCCACTCTTCAAGAATTCCAATAGTGTTTCAAATTCCATATGCACAAGTCTATCTTCGTTCCTCTTCAGCAATGCAATGCTAAATCGGAAAAGTGCTTCAATGCCTTCGGTGAAGATTGTATCATAAATCCTCAATACGAGAGACAGCGGGAATTTATAGGCAAAGAGGGTCATAAACCACTGTGATGCGTACATGGATGAGTTAACACCTTGTGCCTGAAAATGTTGATGAACCCTGGGAAGCATCTCCTCCACAAGGCGATCAAATTGGAAAAGACGAAGTTGCAAGCCATCCATACCCGGTAGAAAATGTCCTCGCATATTATAAAAAGTCATGAGACGAACAAGAACACAGAATGCTTCTTCATCTGGCATCTATTCGTTTAATCCAATTTCCGATTAATATAATAGAGTATAATACAATAACATAATGTTCATATATTCTTACGTGTAGTAATAATGGTCCAACAACAAAAGATATTCCCTGACAATATCCAACATCTTTATCAAACACCGAATAAGCTTTCACCACGTTAAATAATCCTTCTTGACCAATTCCATTCTGATCTTGAAAATATTCATGCTTAGGAAAAGTTCGATTCAAATCTCTCATAATCAATTTCTCGTGAGCACTTGTCTCTTTAAGGAGTTGTGCATAGGTAGACTCCAATTCCGCATCTTTTGATTTCGACATCAATTGCCATATCATTCCTCTCAATGCTGGTGGAATTCCTTTTTGAATCATCCGCGATAATTGACGAGGTTGCGATTTGGCAACTGATTCATAGTCTGAAATAATTAATCCCCAAAAATCTAATTATCAAAAAAATAATAAATTAGAGATTATATTTATTCATAGAAGTATTTCACAAAAAAAAGAATTACCCCAATCAATATTATCGACTTCTTTATCCACAATGTTATTTTGTACACGTTCGAAACTTTTCTTTATTTCTTCCATTCCTTGCAACGACAGTCTTCTTGCTCGTGGATTTGACGTCATAATTTCATTTTCTTTATCTATTTTAGCCAATAATAAATCATAATTTGAGTTCTGAGATATTACTGACGCGTTAGATGAACGACGCATCTCAGTATCGGGAATAGATGTGGTTGAAGAATGCCCAGAACGCAAGCTGAACAAGGAAGTAAAAGATCGACCTGAGGTAGGAGTTTTCGGATACATAATATCCCCGTGATTTTCGGTGTCTTCATGAATTTCAGCAATTGGAGTTGAAGGAGAAGAAAATGAGTTGATAAATGATGTTAAAGATTTAACAGGTGCTTGAAGATTTTTTGAGAAACTCCAGCTATTATTATCTTCCTCTTGCTCTATATCATCATTCAATGAAATATCGTTCAAATGAGGATTCTCTCCTAGAGAAGCAACCGACATTCGATTTTTTGATTCGTATTCTTCTTTTTGTTGTAGCTGCTGTTGCTCATCTAGTTCCTTGATAACTTCAATTGCAATAGGTCTCTTTAGCTCTGCACGTTGAAGCGAAGATACCGACGAGACACTAGATTTCGATGATGCTCTTTCATGTGAAGAATTGGAAGAGTAAGATGATGAAGACGTACTTGAATCATTCTCTAGTTCTTTTTCTTTATTTAACATAGGAATATTTGCCAAATTTTCACTATCAATACTAAATTCTGAAATATTTTCAGGAGAAGAAACTTCCTCGGCAGAATTTAGATTACTGGGAATAAAAATATTAGATGACTTAATATTATTGTTGTTGCTGTTGCTGTTGCTGTTGCTGTTGTTGTTGTTGCTGTTGCTATTGCTGTTGTTATTGTGCTCTTCCACTGTTTCATTCGCAGTTTTGTTGTTATTATGTTCTTCCAATGTTTCATTCGCAGTTTCGTTGTTATTATGTTCTTCCATTGTTTCATTCGCAGTTTTGTTATCATCGACCTTCTTATCGGATAATAATTTAGATTCATTATTCTTCAATTCAACAATCTCTTTATTGTTATTCAATAAATCTTCACTATCTGACGAGAGATCACTTGTATGGTCTGTTATCGTATTGTCAGTAGTACTACTGTTACTACTGCTGATAGAGTCAGAAAGAAAAGAATTGTTACTAGAGCTACGACTTTCAATGTCTGGTTGTGCTTTTGTTATAGGATTTTCAGTTGCTATATCCAACAAAACAGCACCCGATTCTTCGTCTTCTTCGTCAAAAGAACTGTAATTTGTGCCTTCTTCGTAAATAGAAGAACTAGTTGATAAATGTTTGTTGATTTTGTCGTCTTTTGTCGAAGAGGCTTCCGAGCTACTTTTATTATTGATACTAACACCACCATTACTAAACATAGAAGAGCTAATAGATGCACGTTCAACATTTTTCACGCCTCCTTTATCACTATCCCGATTACTATTATTAGTAATTTGTTCAGTTTCAGAATTTGAAGTATAACTATCAATCATAAAGGCCTGCTCTTCTTCTTCCGCCTCTTCTTCTACTTCTTCCTTTACTTTGTCGAGTGGTTTGGTTGTAGTATTTTCATCAAGACCAAAGTGTTCAGTTTGCAAGATGGTCGAAATAACTTCTTGGTCAACTTGCGCGCCTGTCGCCATAAGAAATGAGTTTATTTGTTATTGTTGTAAAAAAATAAAAAAAATAGTCGAGTATCTTAAGAAACGAGAAAGTAAAATCTATCTTTGTTACTATTATGATAAATATATAAGGTAAAATCTATCTTTTGTTACTATTATGATAAATATATAAGGTAATTCTACTATTATATTATATTTCTATGTGTATTTATATATATGGGAAAATATGAAACAGGACAGTAAAGAGTGTATGGTATATTCTAAATTAATTAATGAAAATCAAAGGCAAACGAACAAATAAGTAAATATCGGTGTGATCAATGATACGTACACGCATTAGAAGATGTGTTGTATGAATTACGGCCATTAACCATTAATGTGCTACCAAACATACCAAACAAACAAAAATACTTCGAGATTAGCGTTTTTCCCAATTACGATTGGAAGACCTCTATTTAATAGTTCTTCGAAAGAGCAATTTCAACGCGTCCTGTAAGGAAAGACGCGTAACTTTCAAATAGCTAATTTTTTAATTATAAACATGTACTGTATGATGTATAATGATAAAGTATACTATTTGATCATACAATTTAAACTTTGGATACACAATTGACAATTGATATATACAGCATATTTTGAACTGACACAAGTGTATGTATTATATTATATTATGTGTATATGTAAATATCATCTGATTTGTTAAATATTATGTTCATAATTTTTCGCGTGTGATGAATGGTACATAAATGAAGTGATGTCGTGTTCTCAGACACCTTTACAAAATTAAACGTTAATATTATTGACGCATTAGTTACTTGAGTGTGACTTTCTTTCATCACGAATACTTCATCAGACAGGTTACAAAGTTATCTTCAGTATAATCGACATTGAAAGAATAAATATCTATGAAACATGAATCATGTTTCATGTGCCATCCTTCTCGTCTGAGATGAATGAGTTGAGTCCAACCTTTTTCGCTTAATAGGATAACAAAATAATGCCATTTTCGCTGTTGTTACAGTCAAACCCCCCTTTAAGACGACCAGTGAATTTTGAGATTATCATCTTAGAGAGATTAAATCTGGTCGGTTTAACGTGGTAGTCGTCTTATAATTGATTGTCTTAAAAAGGTTTGACTGTAATAAACAAAGCATAGACGAGGCAATAACGCGAACAAAATGGAAATTTTCATAAAATAAATAAAACTAAAAACTCGTGCTGAATTTTCCCTTTGAATTAGGCGTAAAAAATCCACATAAGCATCTCTGGCTGGTGATAACATATATCTCTGGCCTAATGTAGATTAACGTTAATGGACGCAGAAACGGAATTGAACACAGAAAGTAAGTAATAACGATAATAAGTTAAAGTGGATGTGTTACCGCAACACATTCACTTTAACTTATTATCGTTATTACTTACTTTCTGTGTTCAATTCCGTTTCTTACTAGGGACGATGATTTTCTGTGTCCTCAAACATCCATTGATCTACATTAGGCCAAAGATATATGTTACCAACTAAAAGTAGCATGCAAAGGCAGTGAGAAACGAATGCGAGTTATTTAATAAATGACTCCATTTTTGACATCACGGACTTCGTAGCCCATAAGGCAGTATTATATATTTTCTATGTTCCAAGCATTTTGAAATTGTCCCGTCCTGTCTCTACTAAGTTCCGTCCCGTCTCTACTAAGTCCCAACTGTTCCAACTACGTCCCGCCATATGGGATCAAGATCATTGAATTTTTGGCGCAATTCGTCATAGGAAGTTTCTGAGAGTGGAAGTATTCGTAGAAAGTTGTCGATTAATATTGTGTAAGTAACAATTTGATTATTTCGAATACGAAGGATAGGAATAATTCTGACGCGAAAAGTTCCATGGTCAAGGATTTAAGTGTGATTCGTGTGATACATTCATGTTTTATTAATCGAATAAGTTGCAGATTTACGGATTGAGACACTGATTTTCTCACCCAGATTGTCATGCCTTGATTTCGAATAGTGAAAAGGACCAAAAAACGAGTTTTGTCACCAAAGTTGGGATTAGTATCCTAGCCACGGCGAAAAAAAGTGACTATCACATGATTCTGATATGCCTCTTATGCATAATATTAAATAGAGTTAGGGTTAGGTTTAGGTTTAGAGGTTATTGTATAGCAAACGGGAATATAGTACCATACAGCGCTACCAATAGATCCCCCTGAGATAGCATCACTCATTTTTGCTGGTAAGCAATTTGCGGCCTAATTTTTATAAGTAATGTTTGGTTTTTTTTATGTGTTTAATAGCAAGATAACCCTCCAATTAGTAACAAATTTTCATATATTGCTCTCGTTATTCTGTATCTGGAGGATACTATTCAAGTTTAAGAAGAGTTTTTTGAATAAGATCAAGGGTACTGTAGGTAGTGCTATATAGTATATAGTAAAATTTCACAAATATTTTTATTAAGTACAAAAAATAGTTTCGCAAACAAAATTTTAAAATATAATATCAGAAAGTTTAGTTCAACAATCATATAATTTTGTTTCAATTTTCTAAAAAAAATATAAGTGATTCTTTATAGTGTATTTTCTTTATAATGAAGATCAATTAAAACCATAATATAGTGAATAATATTCAAAACTATCTTTAATAAAATATACTTGATATAGTAAATTTACTAATAAACTTTCAAAAACTTTTAATATAATGAATTTTTGAAAATTTTTACTAATAAATTTTTTTAATATACTATAAAGAAGTTATTGTATATATTGATTTTTAATATCAGGAGTCTATAGATAATACTTTAAAATAGTGCTAAATTACATAATTTTTGATATAAGAAAATAAAAAAATATGAAAAACAAATGTTAAAATTTAGCTTAAAAATATTAACAAAGCAATTTTATATATAATTTTATTTTCAGCTTTAACTCTAATTCTAATTCAAATAATAAAATAATCTTTAAGAATAAAGTATTTTTTTGTAAAATTATATAACTACATGCAATTAATTATAAAAAATTATATAATTAATAATAAACAAAAAAAAATACTTTATTTTTAATATCAATTTTTTATGATTATATAAATATATATTTTTAAAAATTATATAATCTAGTACTATTTCAAATATATTAATGAAATTATAATTCGAGTTGACACTATAATAATATTATGATACAAAGATATTTAATACTTTAAAATATAAAAAAATTTTATTTTAAATATATAATCATTAAAATAAATATATTATTAAATAGTTTTTGATATATTACAAAAATTATTTGTAATTAAATATTTTTAACATTAAATTTAATAATAATATAATTTTTAGCATCTGAAATATTATATATATTATTAGATTTCATTATAAAAATTATATAATTATTTTTCATGTAAAATTTTAATTGATATTACATATAATAACTTATTTGAAAATGATAATTCTCAAAAATGCAGCAATGATACAATATTGAATCTCTTTAAACTTTTTGCATTATAATCAATTAAATTAGATCACATGATAAACATTATATGATTTGTTTCAATTTTAAACTATCTAATTTTAAATGCTTATAACTTTTTATATAAAACTTTTTTTTAAAAATCTGATTGATAATTTGATAAAGCTAAAGAATAAAATTATATTATTAAGATTTCTTATATAATACAAGCTATTTTTTCAAAAATAATGTTTATTTGCATAATCTTAGGAAACATATCGGATGGTCGGTATCGGAATCATGTGACAGTCACTTTTTTCGACCTGAGATAGGTGACCATGAAAAGTATTCTAGCTATGGCGAAAAAATTGTCGATCACGTGATTCCGATTCCAATGCCGACCATCCTTAAAATCATGCACCAACCAAACGCAAAATTGAAAACTGAAAGTTTACTTATGTTCTAACATAAAATGTTGCAAAATTTTACTATGTATTACGTTCCCATTTGCTATATAAGGGGATATCGGATGGTCGGCATTGTGATCGTAATCACGTGATCGACACTTTTTTTCGCCATAGCTAGGGTACTAGATCCATGTATGGTATGGCTTGTATTGAAATTCGAATCCTTCTTATGTGAGGATTCCCATTTGGAGAGGTGTCGCCCATGCTAGATTTCGGATTTGAGTTATAGTCCTTATTGCATGATTAAGTCCATATACAACTATAAACCAGGCTGACGCCTCAGCTTTAGGTAATGTGAGCAAATATTCCCCTGGTTCTTTGTCCGACATCTGTTTTAGTCGTGAACCTAGCCGTCGTGAACCTTTCTGGCGAAAGATTCGATAAACGCGATTTGAAATAAACCAATGGCGATCGACTGACGGAGTTTTACAAATTCGGCCCAGTTCTTTTTTTAGAGACGCCATTTGGTGTTTAAATATCGGTGGCATTGTTGATATTAAGGAGCCAAGGTGATAATAGCGCGTTAGTTTTATTCAATTGCTTGGACCGAATCAGATTGTTGTCGGTCAGAACTCTGGTGAAGATCATCATCAGAATCTGTTGTGCAACCCCTTCTGTGAAGGAACACACTTTGTTGAATATGGAAAAAGCCTTCACTTATTCTACGTATTTCTTACTACCAAAGTACTGGGCAGCAAAGAACTTAATGACACTATTCAAGAGTCCATCAAAAGCGACAGGCATCTTGATATGAGCTGAAATGGACATGGCCATACCTATTACATATGATCGATAATAAAATTAATAATTCAAGTATCTGTACGGCTTGTCAGTATCGTGAAGAATGTGAGCCAAATGATACAATTAACGCGCTTGCACCTAAGTTATATTGAATAATCCAATTTCCTCGGCGAAGGCGGGCCTCACGAACAGTAACCATGTTGAATTAGAGTTTTAAAAGTGTTAGAAAAGACAAGAAACAACCAGATTGAAATTTTTTGGTGCTTGGATCAGTGTTCCGAATGGTTTGGATCAATCCGAGAATAAGTAATTTGATTTTCAACAAAATAAATACAGAGAAACTTCTCTAAGTGCATCCCCTTGCATTTACAGGGTAAAAGTTAGAGGCCTTATAAGTTTGTGACTGAGCCATAGTGTGCATTTAGAGAGTGCACTTAGGAGGGATAAAATAGCTGGCGCGTTGTAACGCGAGACCCCAGATTTAATAGTAATGGGGATTGAAAATATAAACCTTAAAAATTTTAGGACCCATTACCCTAACCCTATACGTTAGATTTAGAAGTCAAAAATAAAATTTATAGTATGCGCCAACTTGAATTTTTGTCGCCAATCACCAATGCCTTAAAAACTTAAATAATTGTAAAAATATAGCAGCCAATTACAAAATGAGTCCACGTGACTCTTTATCTATTAGGTCGTCATCTTAACAAAAGATTTAGCAATTTTATAATCTCAGTCCATTATATTAATATTCGTCCGCACACCAAATATGAGCGATTTTTCCACTTAGGACAGGTTGTATTTTTTTCCTGCCAATTTCAAAACTGGTAGCATCACTCAACATTTTCTTTTGATCATTTTCGTCCAGCAAACATTCCAAGGCTTTCACAAATTGGAATGGTGTTGGATATTTTTTCACGATTTCTAAAGCTTTCTCAGCGCTTACTCCTTTAATCGTCATAAGCATCTTCACAAAAGTATCGCGTACTGTTAATGATGCACGCTTGCTATTGATTTCTGAATACATTTCGTAGGAAATGTGATATGAGCGTTCAGGATGTAATTTGGCTAAATACCGTTTCAAATCCAGAAAGGTATTGCGAAATATGACGTTATTAGGAATAATAAACAGTGATTGACTCTGACATTACCGAAAGTATACATAATCTTTTGTCAGTATAAAATCGATAAGTTAATCCCAAAAATCCGGAAAATCAAATTCAAACTACTAGCTAACCTCGTACTTAGATTTAAATCTTCTTGTTAACGCAGCTAGATAGTCAACTGTCTGCTCAATATTTTTCGTTCTTTTTAAGAAAAAGCCGTTTATAACCTGAGTCTCGGACATTGCTGTTTCAATAGCTTGCATTCCATATTTTTCAGCTTCCTCCATATTATAATCTTCAATTAAATAGATCACTTGTTTCGCGCCAGCTTTTGAAAGACGAAACTATTAAACTAACTTTATTTAATAATCTAATTCGACAGAATCTGTAAATATTCATCCACTAATAAGAACTATACCTTTTGTTCTTTGAAGCGACCATCTTTTATACTCATTACTAAATCATCCATTCGTTTTCTTTCCATTATATAGCCCAATACAGTTTCCTCAAGATTCCTTCGTGCTATCCAGATCATATCTCCCAACTCGAGCGATCTTGTTTGAGTATTTATATCTCTCTGTTGTAACTGTTGTTGAAAATAATCACGATCTTGCTGCATGCGCTTTTCACGATTATCAATAAGAAGAATCACTTCAAAAGTACCAGGTAACCATTCAACAGGAGTAAAGGGAGGAAACGCGCTACGTGAAGCACTTGATGAGCATCCACTGGATTCTGATAATTTCTTATCAGAATTGGTTGTCACCGTGATGGGATTTGTCATATCATTATCAATATCATTAGTAGGCATGTTCTTCGATGTCACATTCTGTATAGCATTCACATCCAAATCAATGAAAACACAGTTTGTAGTTTTTACTATTTGATGTGCAATTTCTAGTCCTGCCTCAGACAACGTAAATCGATGAGGGCATCCGTCTTTATAGACTAGATCTTTTTCTTGTAATGTTTTCATGCAACCCCATGCAGTATAATGATGCTTTGGGTTTTGTGGCATGTCAAAAGATGAGTCGCAGAACTGTTGTGCAATCTTGATGAGTTCAGGTTTGGTTATGCCATTGCTGTTTGGATTTTTGGTGTGAGCGAGGTAGAGGCCAAGAAGAATAGCGTAGCTACCAGATCTATATTTAGGAATATAAGTAGGTTTTTTTTTCTGTTTTTTAAGGGGAGGCTCGTTGATTTCCGGCGCGTCAGCACTTTGATCAATTATTATTTCCTCCTTGGGCTTTGAGCTATCATTCGGTATGACTTCGGACGTGTCATTGTTATGATCAATTATCCTCTTCTTGGATTTTGAGTTAGCATTTGGCGAAGCGGCTATTTAAGAAATCCAAATAAAAACACTCTTTATCACCGTTATATAATGATGAACGCGTTTTAAAAACAAACATTAAAGAATTACCGGGTTTCTTAGGTATAGGTAGTCGATTCTGCTTACAATACTCCTCAAGTTTTTTCTCCAATTTTGCACAAATGCCAGGACCAATTCCTTTTAAAATTGAGGCTTCAGAAGGGTGTGTAAAACCCAATGGATATTTGGAAATTGAATCACAAGCCTGAAGCGAGGACAGACAATATGTCAATACATAAGCCAATTTTAATGGCAAAGAAAATCTCAACGAACCTTTTTATAAGTATGGTATGTATTGGTATTTTTGGCTTTTGCTTCCTCCATCATTTCCTCAAGCCATTGTTTATATAGAGGGTTACCGCACGTGGGTGCTGGAGTTTCTTGTTTTCTTGGTGGCATTTTTAGATATGTTCGCGTTTTTTCGACTTAGGAAATGAATTCGTGTTTATAATTTGTCCAATAGAAATTATCGAGTTAATTGCATATCTTTGACAACATTAGCGATAGATTCCGTGAATAATTAATTATAATATCAGCCACATGATTTCCAACCATCAAAACTCGCGACTTATTAGAACTCGCTTTGTAGTATCTATCTGAATAGGAATAGTAATACTTTCAAGAATCGATCAAGAGCCGAATGTGCCCTTTGGGGATTTTCTAATTTAGAAGGCGCACGTTTGATAACTTGATTTATGTATATTATATCCAAGGAGAGAAATTTTAATTCTTAGTATTTGACACCAATATTGAAATATGAACTCGAATTTTATGACAATGAAATGGACAATTTATTTTTCAAATTAATGTGAGATTCCTGTGATCCATTAACAGAAATATAATAGATTCAGAAACGATTATTTTTCAAAATCATACAATTTAATCGAATGAAATGTAAAAATCCAACTAGAGTAACCCGAACGAAAGAGTAGTCTGAATTGAGTTGCATCACAATGTGATGTCTTGCGTATTGCACTTCATAGTACTACCACCGGTGAACCCGTTTCAACCATTTCCTAGTCCAGAAGCAATCCATCCTAATAGGATTTCAAGTACCAGACTAGAGGGTATCGTTTCTGGTGATTCACCTCTCGCTCTCGCAAGAGTCCCAAGTTAGAGACGAATTGTGGTTTTTCTCAGACCTTCCCAAGGGTATATAATGAAATATGAAACAAGGAAAAAGAACCCTTGCTCATATGTATGTTTGCCCTTAACACAAGCTTTTCGTTCGGGTTAATTAAAGTGGAGTAAAGAAAAATAGAAAGGGGTATAAAAATTAGCAAGAGAAAGATGGGGCACCGCTTATAATGATATGATGGGGGTGGTTAATAATCTTTCTTTCGCTACTTTATATAAAGGGCGAAAATATACAAGGAAAGATCAAAAATTACAGTAAAAATTAAAAAGTCGTGTTATTCTTCAATATTTGATCTAGAAGAATATCATTATACAAATTAGAGCACATCCATAGCTTTTTAGTAACTTAATCTTGACAAGTATAAAAATTATTCAAACCTGGACATCCAGCCTTTGCCCTCGAAGCGAATTTCATCGAATTTCTTAGGCTATTTTACAATACGCAGAGATTAGTGTTAATCATTAGTCATATAATCCTTTTTTCTGGATCTCAAATACCAATTATTTTTTCAGTTTCAGGTTTCAATATTTCCATTGCATTCTAGCAGGGTATTTTTCAGTGTGAGGGTGCATCTATTAAAATTGAAGAAAACACTAGACACTCAAATTTATAGAGCTAGCTCGTAAGATTTTTCGGCTCGCCATATTGCTTTTACGTCAACCTTTTTCATTTTGTTATCAAAATAGAAAATAATAAACAATGTTATCATTATTATTTATTTCGCCATTCAAAATACTATTTTCACTGCTGACAATTAACCAATGGAAATTATACA